TAAGAAATACGGACTTTAATAAAATTGTTATTTTAATTATTGTTATTTACAAACTATTTCTAATTCCACGAAAAAATTGCAATTTTTTCGTAATTTTGCAACTTATAAAATTAACAATAATAGTTGGAAGTTAAATTTTTCAAGTTAAAAATCAACTCAAAAAGAGAGTTAATAATTATATTAACTCCTCGGTAAGAAGCGAGAAATAGAGAAAGATTGAAATTTTGCATATATTAAGCAAAACTTGATCATTTTCAGTTATTCTGAATATGCGTATTTACGTTTTCACCCAATTCTCCAGTGAACATCTAAATATCAAAAAAACGAATTCTTTTCTATTCCCAGTACAGATAAGTCAATAGAAAAGAATTCAAACTTTCTATTTTTCTAAATGCGCAAAGTTCTTTATTTTCATACTTTTTGGCAGCGAATAGAAAAAAATTAAATGTTTGGAGAGTAAATTCTAAATGTCTATTCCTTTCAATCGCCAGCTTCAAAATTTCCATGAAAGGAATAAGAAATTTGAAAAGTGAAGTACATGTGGTTATTTGTATAAATTGACTATAGCTCAGGACATTTGGAGGACATTTAGAGGAATAGAAAATGTGGAGAATAAATGAGGCATTTCTATATTTTACAATTGACTGCGTCAGGTTATATGTATAATTTAGAGTATAAATTTTGACCAAGTCAATTAAGAAGAATAGATTTTTCTACTTTTTTTTGCTTTATCGAGGAATTGAACAAAAACGTAAATTCACTAATTCAAAAGAATTGGAACTCTGAATTCTTTTCAATTATTCGCTTCTTACCGGGTCCTTAAAACTAACGCCCTAGTAATTAAATTAATTCGTAAATTATTAACTCTCCTTTTGCTTTAATTCCATAAGGGTGTACTTTTATAACGTCCCCAAGAGAGTTGAAATTCAACTCTTTTTTTACATTTAATGAGAACCTTAACCCCAACAGTAAAACCTTAATATTTACTACAGATTTATAAACAGCCATTTTAAAAACTCCTGAGTTAGAAGTATCAAATTAATTAATTAATTTAATATTTTCAAAATCTGACTTCAGATTCGTAATCAGCGACCCCAAAAACCCCCGAGTAACAAGTTTCAAACAAATCCATTGAATTTTTCAAAAATATATCGGCCATATTGGATCTGCTATTTTGAATTTTTAAACTCTGACTTCAGATTCGTAATCAGCGACCCCAAAAACCCCCGAGTAACAAGTTTCAAGCAAATCCATTGAATTTTTCAAAAATATATCGGCCATATTGGATCTGCTATTTTGAATTTTCAAAATCTGACTTCAGATTCGTAATCAGCGACCCCAAAAACCCCCGAATAACAAGTTTTAAGCAAATCCATTGAATTTTTTTAAAAAATGTCCGCCATATTGAATCCGCCATTTTTAATTTTCGAAATCTGACTTCAGATTCGTAATCAGCGACCCCAAAAACCCCCGAGTAACAAGTTTCAAGCGAATCCATTAAGTTTTTAATAACCTGTCTGCCATATTGGATTCGCCATTTTGAATTTTGAAAATTTTTTTAATCTGACTTCAGATTCATTTTCGGCGACCCCAAAAACATAAGAGTGACCTATTCTCTAACTAATAGCAATGATTTGTTCAAGATAATTAATACATTTGTTTGCTGAGTCAGTAAAAAAATTGGAAAAAGTTGTCACAGTAAGGACGCCATGTTGAATTTTTGAATTCGCCACTTTTTATTTGAGAGAGTATGAGCTAACGGTTATTTTAAGCCATAATAAGTCAATTTTCGTTTAGTAGATTTTTGGACAGAGCTGTGGGCCGGTTGACGTGAAACGTCCCATATATATATATATACTTACCAATGCCTTAATTATATATATATATATATACAGTGCCGCTCAGCAGATTTTGCCCACCTTTGAGAATTTTACGCTTGGCGAAAAGTTTTATATTTCGGTTGCTAATAAAGATATAATACTGAGTGAGGACTTTTTTGAAAGCTTATATCTTCTACTTTTATGATATCTAAAACAGACATTAAAAAAAAATTTTTTTTATTGTTTAATTGCTCAAAATAAAAATCCAAAATTTCCGTTTTTTTTGTAATTTTAAAATCGCTGCAGTTTTTAAACCAGTTACATATTTTGAGTTTTTTTGAAAAACAACATTTTTTAAATTACTAATAAGTCGAGAACGGTTAGCTTTTGAAAAAAATTCTTAATATAAAAAATGTGTATTTTTATGTTTAGAATTGAGAAAAAAATATTACGAATTTTTTTCTAAAGCTAACCGTTCTCGACTTATTACTAATTACAAAAAGTGCTGATTTTCAAAAAAATCAAAATATGTCAAAAAAAAAAAAATTTTTTTTTTATGTCTAAATATTTTTTTTCTAATTCTATACATAAAAAGGCACATTTTTCTTCTCAACAATTTTTTTCAAAAATCAATCGTTCTTGAGTTATGACTAGTTGAAAAAAAGTGCAGTTTTTTTAAACAATTGTCCATATCTTTGTTACAAATTATCGTATTAAAGTTTACAAGGAATCATTTTAAAGGTGATAAAATTAGCTTTCAAATGGCTTATCAACGATTAAAATGTGATGACTGGTTTAAAAACTGCAGCGATTTTAAAATTACAAAAAAAAACGGAAATTTTGGATTTTTATTTTGAGCAATTAAACAATAAAAAAAAATTGTTTTTAATGTCTGTTTTAGATATCATAAAAGTAGAAGATATAAGCTTTCAAAAAAGTCCTCACTCATTATTATATCTTTATTAGCAACCGAAATATAAAACTTTTCGCCAAGCGTAGAATTCTCAAAGGTGGGCAAAATCTGCTGAGCGGCACTGTATATATATATATATATATATATATATATATATATATCTAACAAGTGTTTGGTCGTGTTGACTGAACATTCGGTTCAAATAACCAAACTGAGGCAACCATTCAGGTTTGGTAGTGACAACCAAACCGCTTGGGTCTACACAACTATTCATTTGGTTCCAACAACCTTTCCACCGTCAACTAAACTGAGTTTGGTTATATCGACCAAACCATTTTTTTCCGTGCAGCGACCCCGAAAACATAGCATACAGTATTGTTTGAAACATTTCAATTATTACCGAATTTCGTGATTGAAAGGGTTAACCATTTATGACACTTTTTTTCATACACGTTTTGTCTCGAAACTACTTTTTTCGAAATTGTGTACACTCCAGCTTAAAAAGTTTTTAACCAATCATTCTGAAATTTAGCAATAGTTTCGTTATATAAATACGCCCTATTTGAACTTCAATCTTTGGTGTCTATTATGTGATTTGATTTGATTATGACGTCAAATTCAAATATATTTTGACGTCGAAGTCAAATTTAATTTCAGAAATTTATTTTTTGATTTGATTTTGACGTCAGAATCAAATTTTGTTTTAAAAATAGTATAAAAAATGGTAAAATATTATGTTTTTTGTTCATACCCCTCCAAAAATTAGTAATTTACTATTTTTTGTGGAAATGAGATTCATATAGAAGAGGTACATATAAAAAAAGGTATATTCTTTGTGCAATTAATTTCAGATAAAAATTGTGATTTCCACAACCCAATGGGAAATAAACCATTGGTTTAAAAATGACCCAACATTGGGAGCCAGTCGTTCCAATATTGGTGCAATAATGGCACCCAATATTGGACCGTGAATGATAAAATCTTGGGATGATCACGATGTTGCCAATCATTGGTAGCCAATGATGGAACAATATTGGCCAAGACAAAAAACAGATTCTCAAAAGCTTGGTTATTAATAGGCTACAAAGATTGGACCAGTATTGCAAGCCAATCATTGGTTATCAACAATACACACCCTATACGCCACTTGTCTGAATTATTGTCGTGCGCGCATCTTTCGACGAAGCGCGGGAATCTTCAAATGTGATTTCAAACATTATGTGAAAGATTTAATAATTTTTTATTACACTACATTTTAAAAAATTAATATAATTAAATAAATGAAAATAGTTATTTATGATACAAGTGCGTTAAGTGAGTGATTATACGAGTGTGATGCAAATCACACGAGTATAAACAGATTTACACACGTGTATCCTACAACATTTTTTGCAACACCCACCTCTAAAGTTAAGTACCTATTATGAGGAATTCCAACTCTCTATTAGAATAATTTCGATTGTATAGAATTAAATAAATCAATCGAAGATCAGGAAAAATATCATTAAGCAGGAGTGTATAAATTTAAATTTTTTTAATTTTGTGGTTTTGTATATGGTTTAAAACAATCCTATATTATGTGAGAAACATTTCAGTGCGTAAAGTAAATTTCAGTGCGTAAAGTGAATCACTTTACACACCGTTTGAAAAAGAGCTTCTTTACACACACTTTTCGGTGTGTAAAATTTAACTTTAGAGGTTAGTATTGCAAAAAATATTTTTAAAAAATTTATTTATTTTTAAAAAATATTTATAATAATAATAAAAATTATTTTATTTATTCTAATTGTTTTTAATTTTAAAAATAACTATTTTACAAAATCTTTCCAAATTTTTCAGGATTCTTTTTCAGAATTAATAATTATGTAGGTAATTAATGTGTTAAATATGAATTAAAATTAGAGTAGTACCGCCCATGCAGAAATTGCCAGACTTTGCCCCATTTAAAGTAAGGCATTGGTAAGGGCCTTATCAGTTTTCCCTGTTTGAGTAAAATGTGAACAAATTAAATTTTTAAAGTTTTTCCTACATAAAGTGTTATTAACAATAAAATAAAATCGTTTTACAATAATTTTAGATATTTTTTTATTTTAGTGTTTTGACCAAAATTCCCGAACAAAATCCCAACTAGGGTATTCCATATATGGCCCTGTCAAGGGCCTTTTCAGTTTTCCTGGTTTAAAAAAAATTTAAGGGGTTATGCCACTCTAGAGACCGAAAAAATAGGTGTTTTATGTGAATTTTTTTTAGAAAAACCATAAAGTCAATTAAAAATATAATATAAGAAGTTTATTATACATCTTTTTAGGTGTAAAAAAATAATTTCTTATAAATATTTCTTGAAGAATGGTGGCGCTGTAGCGGTCGTCCTTCGACTCCTCTATGGTTCAAGGGGTACGTGGCCGAACTAACTGCTCCTGTAAATTTTGAAATATCTTGAGTATCTAAATTTTTTTTTATTATATATTACAATAGCTAAAGTAACACGTAGGATTTTTTCGATATATTGATTCATGATCAAATGGCGCACTTCTAAAGTTAAACTTTCTAATTTCGACTAAAAAACCATCAGTTAATAGTTAATAACAAATGAACTATATAGAATAAAAAAAAAATCCTACGTGATACCTTAAAAAATGTATTTTTAAAGATGTGTGTCAAATTTGAACCTAATCGGTTGGAAATTGTACGAGTTGTTGGTTCGGCCAACTCGAAAAATGTAGTTTGGAGATAAACGCGTTTAAAGTTTTAAGTTGTAAAAAACTTAAATAATTTCACAATACCTTTAATCTGCAATGCCTGCACCATATAATTGACCACTATAGTCTAGCAAGTAACTAGCGCCTTTGAAAACATCTGCCGTATACCTGCTGTAGATCCTTCAAAGATCACCCCCCGTAGAACTGACAAAATGAGCTCGCCGCGTACCGTGCAGCCTTGCAAGGAACTTCGAAAATAAATTATTTAGAGATTTTTCCGAGCCATAATCCTGCAATATGTTATTTCTGAGACCCTAAGGAACTATTTAAAGCAAAAAAAAAAAAGCGATTTTTTGAAAATCCTAGAGTGGCATAACCCCTTAACTAATTAAGTATTTAAAGTTAACATTTCGCAAAAATGTTATTGTAAATTGGTTAAATAATTTCGATTTTAAATAATAATTTATTTCTTATTACTAAATTTTCTTATGGGTTCCTGTTAAATTCCCTAAGTATTGAACTCTCCATAGTTACCACGGTATTGACACATTTTTCAGAACGATGGCGCAAAAAAAAAATTTTATGTAAAGTTTGAGAAGTATTAATTAAAAGAAGATAATAACTATTAAAAGTAGCAAATTACATTGGATAAAATAATAATTTTTCTCTGTTAGGTATATAAATTTAAATATTTTAGGCATGTACAAACGAAACTAGTATAGGGGAGAGGATGAAAAAATGGATCTCAATAATGATACTTATAATAATAAATTTACTACTTTGAATAGATTTTTTTACTAAATTTTACAGTTAATCTTACTATTTTTACATAGTTGTTTCAACTATTGTTTGTTATAGGCGCCCCCTGGAACTAGGAGAAATGTAGTCAATGTCAATTAAATGTAGTCAAATTTACCATGAATTTTTATGAGTTTATATAATATAAAAAAATAGGGTATGCGTATGGAAAACTGGTAAGGCCCTCACTAGTTTTCTTTACCTAGGGCATTGGTGAGGAAAATCATTACACCCTTGTGAGGCTCTGATCAGTTTTCCCGACAAGGCCCTTATTAGAGATCGGGAAACCTGTTAAGTACCTCATGAGGCCCACATCACGATTTCTGCACGGGCGACAGAAGTGGGCCACACTTTGGATTTTAGACTATAGAATGTTAAAAAAATTATAATTTGGAAAATTTTTTGCGTCTATTTATAGAGAAAGGAATTATCTAAAGTTTTGCAAGCATACAGTTAAAAATTAAAAATTTTAACATATTGTTTTACATCATTATGTAAAAAGGGAAATTCGCGATTTCACGATTTTGTGGACAGAAGTGGGCCACCCAAGTTTTTCATCTAAAATATGTAAAAGTATCAAGAATTACACTGGCACACAAAAAAAATTGATGCTCTGATCTTTTGACCAGACTATGACTACTTTATGTTTTCGGGGTCGCTGAAACCGAATCTGAAGTCCGTTTAACCCCATCACCCTAGGGTTTTTAGAAAACTTCAAAAAAAAACACCAAAATTTGACCCCAAATTTTTGAAATCAAGAAAAAATTTTATCTCCAAGTCTTATCATGACTACTTTATGTTTTTGGGGTCGCTGAATGCGAATATGATGTCTATTTAACCCTATCTCGTCAGATTTTGAAATAATCCAAAAAACCCCAAAAATTGGCCCCAAAATTTTCGAAATGAAATAAAATTTATATCTCAAAGTCTTACCATGATTACTTTATGTTTTCGGGGTCGCTGAAACCGAATCTGACCCCGAAAACATAAAGTAATCATGGTAAGACTTTGAGATATAAATTTTATTTCATTTCGAAAATTTTGGTAGTCATGATAAGACTTGGAGATAAAATTTTTTCTTGATTTCAAAAATTTGGGGCCAAATTTTGGTGTTTTTTTGTGAAGTTTTCTAAAAACCCTAGAGTGATGGGGTTAAACGGACTTCAGATTCGGTTTCAGCGACCCCGAAAACATAAAGTAGTCATAGTCTGGTCAAAAGCTCAGAGCATCAATTTTTTTTGTGTGCCAGTGTTATGATTGTTATGTTAAATGATTAATTTTTCCAATAAATGGCTGTTGAAAATTTGATCGGCCTATACCGGTAGTAATACAAGCAATTTATCGAAGTTGATGGACTCATAGCCAGTCCGTTTATCTTTTTTTGGTGGCATAATCACATAAAACATTGAAATTAATTTTTAAAAAAACTACTTACAAAAACACTAATTGTTGAAATAATACGTGAATGCAGTGGCCCACTTCTGTCCACAAACATAATTTTACACAAAATAACGTGGCGAGAATACCACGCGATAATATGCTAAAATCTTTTTACACTTTTTAAGGTTAGGTCTATTAATATAAAAAGCTACTTATCCGATTAAATTCAATGAATAACTTATGCAAATAACGATATCTTTCTCAAGGAAAAAAAAGAAAAAAGTATGTATTTTTTAAAACTAATTATTGGAGAACACAAATGTACGTTTGCTCACTTGAATGTCTACTGAAAAATTAGCTCCTGTCAATACTTATAAAAAAAATTCGGTTGACAGATATGTCAATTGTGAAAACAAAAATAGCTAGTGGCCCACTTTTGTCGATACTACTCTACTAATTTTTATAAACAATTTCATTAAAAAATTGTAAAAAAAAGAAAAAATTACTCTAAAATATTTTTGAATAAAATAATTTATAAAAATTAGTACCCACATAGCACGACTTTTTGCTGTGAGGTTACTGTATGGATATCTGTAGGGTTTGTAAGGTTACCGTGTAAGCCTACAGTAAACTTGAGGTCATCTTAAAACTTCCGCCATTACAGTAAGCTTACACAGTAAAGCTAAGGTAAGCTTACACAGAGAGGTCGTGGTAAGGTTACTGTAAGATTGCTGTAAGGTTACTGTAAACATAGAATGTTATTAATAAATAAATTTTATTAATATTTATGCGCAGTAGTTTTCTATGGCACATACGGCTGCGCAGTAAATTTTATTTAACAAACCCTATTGGGGTTCATGAAGTACTTTACCAAATATATAATTTTTTATAAAAAAAATTTATAATATAATATATATTATAATATAATTATTTTTAATATATTTTCACATTACTCTATGTTTACAGTAACCTTACAGCAACCTTACGGGAAGCTTACAACAACCTTACCGTGTAAGCTTATCAGAACCTTACCATGTAAACTTACCACGACCTTACTGTGTAAGCTTACCAGAACCTAACCATGTAAACTTACCACGTCCTCACTGTGTAAGCTTATCTTAGCTTTACTGTGTAACCTTACTGTAATGGCGGAAGTTTTAAGATGACCTCAAGTTTACTGTAGGCTTACACGGTAACCTTACAAACCCTACAGATATCCATACAGTAACCTCACAGTAAGAAGTCGTGCTATGTGGGTACTAATTTTTAATTCATAATTTACTCTTTAATTTAATAATTATTAATTAAGAAAAAGAATCCTGGAAAAATCTTGAGTTATATTGTAAAATAATTATTTTTAAAATTTTAAACAATTCGATTAAATAAAATAATTTTTATTAATATTATAAATATTTTTTAAAAATATAACTTCAATGTATGGACCAATATTAAAATAACTGTGTTCTGATTGAAATTCTGAAAACTTTAAGTTTTTAGTTTGTTTTATTTTATATGTTAAATAAAAATATTTTCTCAGTCCAAAATAGGTATATTTAAAAATATTCTAGAGCAAATTAGTAGTGTAATAAAAAATTATTAAATCATTCACACAATGTTTGAAACCACATTTAAAGATTCCCGCGCTGCGTCGAAAGATGCGCGTACGACAATAATTCAGACAAGTGGCGTATAGCACAGAAAAAACTTGGACTCATTTTTGTTGCAACTCATTTTCTTTTGGGTATCGAAATGAGTATGGGACAAACTTCATGTTATTCAAAATGATATTGGCTGGAATTTCAGATTTCTAAGTTGGCATCATAAGCAGAGTAATTTTGTATTTCAATTATTGTTTCTAATATTTCAACAACACCAGAAAGATTATTTTGACCAGTACGAATATTTAGAAGTTTTTAAATAAAAATTATTTATTATTATTTACGTAGATAATAATTAATTTCATAAGTTTTTAAATTTACCGCTATTATTTAAGTTGGCAGTACCGTTCCTGTTGTCAAAACACATGTTTTCATTTTTCTAACCTAAAAACATATTTCCTTTATTATTTTATTACGCGATTACAAGCAATTTTTAATCAAATATATTAAGTCTAGCGTGTTATTTACTTCTTTGTAATTATTATATTTCATGTTTTTGTGCAAAATTATTCGTTATTTCACAATATTTTTCCATTTTTCTTTTTCTCAAAATGAAACTTGCCTGTTTCATTTTGATACTTTTACCTTAGAACTCGAAATGAGACAACCAGTTTCATTTTTGTTGCGAATCAAATTGAGTATAGAATCTATACTCAATTTGAATTCAGGTTTTTTCTGTGAGGGTGTGTGGTAGTCGTTTACACAAGCAATCAAGGTGTTACCCTAACATTATAAGATAGACTTCTTTGTAGTTGAAATAAGAATTCAATTTTTTTCACATTTTGCCGTTTTGGTGGCAGGAAATATTTTAATTATCTCCATATATGTGAAATGAATTGAATGAAATTTTTGTATCCTTTTCTTGTCGAACTATTGGATGCCAATAGTGGACCACGTTTAATTAAATTTTTAGATGATATTGACATTATTAGGTATATCCAATATTTTTTCGTCATTGGCGGACAAGACATACAACGAATATTCAAATGGTTAATAATTGGCTACTAAGATTGGACCATTGTTGATAACGAATGATTGGCTTCTAATATTGGCCCAATCTTTGTTGACAATTAATAACCAAGCTTTTGAGAATCCGTTTTGTTCTTGGTAGCCAATGATGGAACAATATTGGCTACCAATGTTTGGCAACATCGTGATCATCCCAAGATTTTACCATTCTCGGTCCAATATTGGGTGCCGATAGTAAGATAAGAAAAAACCATTCTTGGCCCATCATTTAGTCAATCGTAACCATTGTCAATTTCTCATTGGGAATGTACACAAACCTTTAAGACGGATTCGCGACCTACAATATGCGGCAGCAGATATTATTAATTTTTGGAGAAAATATTTGAAATTTATCAGAATATACTTTTAAATATGTGTATAAAGTAACCTCACAATAGCAATAAATTATTTCCTTAAGTGTTAAAAAAATTTATAAAAATTACTATTTCCCCTCTTCAATATTTTCGTTTTCAATATTCAAATAACTATACTATTTTATTTTTGAAGGTTTTCATTGTACTATGGAAGAGTTTTTATACTCAAATATTGAAATTAAGTTTTTTTTATACTCTTAACATTTTTTGTTCGAACTTAATCGCCTTTCCCCTATAAGATTTTGTATAGGGATTATCAGCAAGGATTTTTTTGGCAGATTTCTTAAAAAAAGTTTTTAAAAAAATTTAATTTTTTTAATTGAAAAATAAGACTTATTTTTGAAAAAAAGAGGGTAAATTTTTTTATTGAAAAGTCCATAAAAAATCACAAGCCAGTTTAATAACTTATAACATTTTATCTAGAAATTTCAGGAATTTTATCCCATATTATTTAGTAGTTTCATTTTTATGAAAATTTCACTTACATAATGAAAATATGTAAATTTAAAAATTCATTTTTCACCGTTTTTACGTTTTTTTGTTATACGCGCAAAAAAAATATTTTTTCTTTCATGCTTTTTTTAAAAATTAAATAAATTTTGAATTCAGATGTGCCCCCATTTTCAATTTCATAAGAACAATAATTTTTTTAAAAGATATAACGGATTTTCGTGAAAAAATAATTTTTATTTTTAAAATTTTGTTTACAAAAATCATTAAAATTTTAAATTTTGTCGTAAAAAATAGAACAATGTTTTGTATAAAATTGGAATAAGTAGTAAAAATTGTTTCACCAAAAAGCCTCATTTGACATATAGCTCATTCATTAATTGGATTGAATAAAATAATATCCTGCACGCAAAATTTGTGTGTCCCGGTCTACTCAACGATGAGTAGATCCTGAGGGCACAAGGCAGGGTCATAGAAGGGGGTCATCAACGTTCGAGCACATCCAAGTTCTCATGTTCATTCTGTAAAGCATCTGGGTGGACAGTATTTAACCGTCATTCGTGCTAGAACGATCAGAAGTAAAAGTAACCGGCTGTTTTATTCTCGAGTTTTGTGCACAAGAATAAATGATTGTAATTAATTCTACTTTAAATCTTGTAGGTAATATATATAAAAACAAAACAGTTTAAATTTCATTATTATATTAACTTTTAATATATTCAAAAGACGAATAGAAAAACATTAATGCAATGTTCTTTATCACTGATCCGAAACAATAGGAACAGGCCAACAACCCATATACAATACAAAAAACAAACAAAAGAATTTGCGGAATTGAGTTACATTTTAACAAAATAAAATAATGAACATTCTATAAAATACAAATTTTTCCGGTTCTTTGTTTATCTTTAGTTAGTAAGTAAACCAACATGTGAAAACCGGTAAACCATTTTTTAAATAAAAAGTGATTAAAAATAATAGCGAAAATTGTGTTTAAACATTTTTATTGTGATTATTCGGATTCAGAAAATCGTACAAATAACACATATTGTGGCCAGCTTGCAGTAAGTGTAACATGTAATATTAAAAAATGTTATTATAAAATTATCTTAAATTTCTTTGAATTTTTATCACTGTAAAAGTAATACTATTAAAAAATATTTTCTGAAAGTTTCAATTGGATTTTGAATGTAGATAAATGCAGAGATAAATCTAAATAAAAGTTTTAAATAGGGTCATCTATTTTAAAAAATTCAAATCTTATTTTTCCTTTTTTTTCTCTCATATAAATCTGAGGCTTTTTTAAAAGGGTCAAGCACCCGTGTCCCCCTCCTTAAATAAATGTTAACAATAACGTTTACTTCTATTCATAGTTCTAAATCTTTTTTGATCACGTTAGAAGAAAAACAAAAACTGTTATTGACGATTAACTTTAATGGTTTCCAATTGTTAACCAATTCTAAACAATGAAATCCCCCACAATACTGAAACTTTTCTAAAGATTTCCTAAATATTTATTTGAAATGTTCGGAATATTTCAAATAAATCTTTAAGAAATCTTTAGGAAAGTTTCAGTGCTGTTGGGGATCGTTTCTTAATATTTTTTTTAAAAGCTGTTGTTGTTGCCTGAAATATGGATAAAAATAAATAAGATAATGAGAATATTAAGTTTTATTAATTTATTATTCATTATTGTTGTTTTTATCTAATTATTTATTATGAGTTATTTAATTAAGGAAGATATAAGATTAATTACTAGGGAAATGATAATTAAGTAGAAGTTATCGCTTAATTTGTGTGCTTAAACTGTAAGATTATTATTAATAATTTTTGAGTGACATTGAGATAATATAATATGATTTTTAATTGTGTTATTAGAACCTGAGTGACAAAAATTTGAACTTCTTTATCTTCACAATCTGTTTGACTCAATTTGACCTTATAAATATTAGGTCAAATTGTCGAGCTGATAAATGTAGGTTTAGTAGCGCTATAATTTAGCTAATTATAAAACTAATAATTAAAAATTTCTTTTTAAATGTAGTGATTCTATATGTATATGATTCTAGGTTCGAAAAGAAGGTGAAAAAAATGACAAGTCTATACATAATGTAAATTTTAATTAATTTAAATTTTAGTGGTAATAAGTAATTTAAAATCGAACATCTTTCACATTTTTTAATATTTTTCATCTACAACTTTAAAAAATTTTTTTTTTTAATTTTGAAAAATTAAACAAAAAATTTCCATTTTTTTTTAATTTTATAACTTAGATCCTAAATAATGTCAGAAAAAAATTGTCCTTCGTTAACAATCAACATTTTAATGGCTTAAAATTTTATTGGTGCCACCTCTTAACTTTACACATAAAAAGAACTAAAAAATGAACGCGTGCATGTTCGTTGTTCTAATTTCAGTTACATATTAATGTACAAGAACGCGTAACCCAAATCTACACATGAACATATCCGTGAACGACTATGGAAACATGTACATGAATTTTCAATAAAAAAATTTCATTGATTCATCTTAAAAAACGAATTGTGATTGCGGATCTTGAAATCCGGGATATAAACTTAAGTTTAATAGTCATTTTTACACGTCAAAATGGCGTAAAAAAGATGTACTCTAAAAGAAGTGTCCGCATGTCTTTTTCAAGCGACCTTTTTGTGAAGAAAGTTCCGGCGTGTTGAGGTGGGGCAACACGATATGATGACGCGATGGGGAATGCTGAAGCTGTCATGAGCGCGGCTTGGAATTGTGTGAAAGGTGTATAACACGACAATAGAAAGTTCTTGCATGTCACTAAGAACCACTTTTGTTGACCCGGAAGGAACTACAGTGACGAAGTGACCCACATCCGGTGGTTACATTACACATCTACCCTTTTTTGAAAATAAATAAGTTTACAAAAAGGATAGATCTTCTTTACAGAGATTAAATATCTCTATAAAGATTGATGAATTATAAAAGAAATACAAGATTTTATGAAAAGAAAAAGTGTAATGTAAAACACGGATCTGAACTTTTGTGTAACTTTATCATTCTATATTTGTCTTCACTTTAAATAAATGTTGTTCCTATTGCTTGCATTGCAATTTTTTATAGTTATATACACGGAAAGAATCAGTTCTTGAAACTTTCATTTCATTGACTATATACTTATTTACTGTTGAGTATGATATTAAGCCATTTAAAAAATAAGAAATCTCCTATTGAAATTTAAAAAGAATTCATAAAACTAAAGAATAAGAATGTTGAAGAAATATTGAACATCATTTCACGAAACATTCATTAACTATATTATGCAAAATATGCAATCTAAGTAATATAGCAGTTAATTAAATTTTCGACAGCAAGAGGAGGTCAATTAAATAACTCGATACCATAAGAGCGATGTTTTGAGCGTAAATCGAGTTATTTAATTGACCTCCTCAATTAAGGGGTTCCAAGTGCGAAATGTCAAGTCTCACAATACGTCCCAACACTGGCTCAGTAATGTATGCCGAAGTACGGCAAACGTTACTGGGACAGTACTGGTGATGAATTCGTCCCATTATTGTGCCAAAATTACTGGGACATCATTGGCACCGCAATAGGGGAGACCGGGGCTGAAAGTGCCGATTTTGAAAAAACTAACTAAAATGCTAGTAAAATGAGAACTTTTTGTTTTAATCTATAGTCTATCTATTGTAAAATTTAATGTAGTTTTAAAATCTATTATTATTTTTTGATAATTTTGACCAGTTTTTTTTTATAAAAATGATTTTGTGCAGCGAGGCAACACGACACGTTAAACTCCGCGCTGGGGAGAATTGTGCCGACGCCAGGGTCGGTTGTGCCGCTCAGATTTTTTAGTTGTTTCAGTTGAAGCAAATAATTTTACGTGTAAGAAATAAAATAATTATTGACAATATATAATTTACTATTATTTATTAATCATTTGTTATAAACTTTTAAAGGTATTTAGGAACAATCTTACACAGAAAAAAACTGTACTCATTTTTGCTGCTTATCATTTTCAGTAAATTATCAAAATGAGTAAACGGCAAACTTCACGTTACTCAAAATGAAACTGGTTAGTATCAAATGTCAGGTTATGCCAAATAAAATTGTTTACCACTATTATGTTGGTACTAACTGTGAACTATTTCATAGTGCGCCATCTGAGGATGAAAGAACAAAGTAATTCAAACGTAATAAACCAAAATTATAAAATACAATTTATGTCTCTAAAATTTTTTATAAATATTAAATAAAAAAAAATTATTAGCATTGCAGTTAAAGTTAAAATATTCAAAATATTATTAAAGTTTTTATTTTCTATCGAAAAAAAATTTTATAACATTATTATTAAAGTTGTTCATAATAATAATAATAATTATTATTATTATTATTCATATTATAATATTATATTAATAATATTAATAATTATGAGTTAATTTAATTATATAATAATATAAATTTATTTTTATTTTAAATATATTATACATAAGAATTTTTAAATAATAAGAACTCAATTTTATAATATTATAATATTTAAAAATAATCATTTCGTTTATTACAAAAAAAGCAAAGCTTTTCGTCCATTGACGATGGATTTTTTTCAAATAAAAAAAAGAACAACTTCTACTAAAAATTATAGATCCAAAGAAAAACTACATCAATCACATATATTTTAAGAATTAAAATTTATTTGTTAAAATTTTTAAAGATAAATTTTTTTTATTTATTAATTAATGTGAAAAAAATTTGACACAATATCATTTTGTTTCGTAAACAATATTTTACTTTAAAATTTTTTAAATAAGGCGCCATTACCTTTGGTTTTTAGACAATAGCGCTTTGTTTCTCTACTTCATGTTAACGCAGTTGGTTTTACTGCCTGTCATTTCATATGTTTCTTAACCTAAAACTTAATTTATTTTATTTTATAAATAATAATAAATTGACTTTAAGAATTAAAGTCTTTTTAGTTTAAAAGTGTTTATTTATGAAAAACAATTGTTTTAGTACTATTTTAAATTAAATAATCATTTTTTATTTATCTATAATTCATAGTTAAACATTTACTCAAAATGAAACTGACGTTGTTCATTTTGATATTTTTTCACTGAAAACTTAAAATGAATAAGAGCGTTATCATTTTTGCTGCATATCAAAATGAGTATGATTTCGTACTTATTTTGAGTACAGTTTTTTTCTGTGTAAGATTTCTAGATTATAGTAAGTACAAATAAACATTTTCTGACTTTTATATTCTATAATTGCATAGTTAGTCAGTCACTTAAAATATAGTTTTCGTAATAAGTATTTTTATTATAAACATACAAAGGATTTTTCCAACAATCGTAATATTTATAGATTTTTGTAAATAAATATACATTTCTGACTTAAATTTTACAATTACATAATTAGTCAGTCTTTTAAAATATTTTTTGAAATAATTATTTGTATCGTTAATTAATTGTAAAAACTCTACTTTTTGATTAATAAATAATTTTTAAAACGTGAATACTTATTCTGGATGCGATTTATTGAAATTACAATTGACACACATATAACTGACCCTTTTTTACCATTCACACATTTTAAATGTGCCCAGTTTTTGTAAACGATGCATTGAATCCATTTTTAACTTGATTTCGGGTTGGAATAACTATGCTATTCGAATAAACGAGGCAATAGTAGATTATGGTTATGTAGCAATTGACAGCGGCACAACCATCCCCAAGCGAAAGGCACAATTAACCTCGTTGCGTCGACGCTCACTTTTTATCAAATATTAAAAAACTAGATAAATTAAATGTTAGGTTTCATACACTATTAAATCCGTCGATAAATTTGGATCATTTTAAAAAAAAATACGTATCGATATCTTTAAAAATGCAAAAAATAGACCAAAAAGTGTTACATTGGCTAGAATTACTTTTACTAAATAAACTTTAGCAAAATTGGCTATAGATACATGCCATATTAACCAAAAATCTTAGTTAATATAACTAAGGAAACAAGGGGCCAAATATACTAAATCGCTTATGACAATATTAACCTTGCTTCCTAACTGAATTGACTAGGATTCTTGGTTACGCTGACTAGATTTAAAGTTCCTATGGTTAATAGTCATTAATGCGAAGCAAATTTTTTTCAGTGTACTGTAAACTTATGTAGCAAACTTACATGGCAACCTTACTGTAAGCTTACAAAGACTTTATTCTGTATATGTTTACAGTGACCTTATCATGTAAGCTGGCAATGAGCTTACCTTGTACCCGTGTGGAAATTTATCGTGGAAATGTATTGCAAACTGTACAGTTAAGCTAGATTCAATCCAGCAACTTGAGAGGAAAACTGGACAGAATCAAGTAGGGTATGTGACGCTAGGGATAGCTAGCTATATTAAAATATACAGTTTATATCTACCCTAGGGTTGACCTATCTTCAAATAGGTAGTAACACCTACACAAAAAAAAATTAAATATGGAATTAATTATACAATTGTCACATTATTTATAATTGGAAACCTTATATTTACCCCTACCTATTGTTATTTAACGCTATCGCTTACATACATTTTGGAAAATATTTAACGCATACTGGGATCGAACCCCCTAACCTAACGCTCCGCAGGCTAACACGCTAACGGTTACGCCACCTTAACATGGGAAAATAAATACAAAATTGATTTGATAAGTTGCGACTGAGGAAAATGAAGACTTGAGGAGCAGAAAAATAAGGAAACAATAATTATTACATATAAAAATTATAATTTATTTTTAATGTTAAATAATTTATTTAACATATATAAGTCAATATTTTCATTTTTTTTATTTTTACCTAGCTAAACTCTAGAAAGGCTACATATCTAAGGAAATAAAGGGAAAACTGTATAAAAACTGCACATGAACTTTGAGGGGCCATTGCAGTTATTTAAGAATAAATTTCCACGACAAACACTGTTCAGCTATAGGCTAACCCCTATGGGCAAAAAACCATGTTCGTTCTAAAAACGTTTTTAGAACGTTTCATGTCTGTCAAATAATGTTCTGGAATATTATTTGAACATCTATGTTCTTAAAATGTTCCAGAACATTATTTGGCGGACATGAAACGTTCTAAGAACGTCCTTAAAACGTTTTTAGAACGAACATGGTTTTTTGCCTACAGGGACACTAGAACGGCCACGATAAATTTCTACACGGGTAAGGTTACTGTATATAGCCATACTGTGTAAGCAGGTTACTGTATCGCGAACATTTTAAGTTTACCTTAATCTTACTGTAAGTTAACATTGTAATTTTACAAAACTTACATGTAAGTCTGCTGTAAAATTGCAGTAAGTTGTGCTGTGAATAACTAGACAACTTATGAATTATTCTGGTCTTTATTATATGTATTATAAAGTTAATGGTTTAAGTTTATTATTTGATTTAGTAATTTACAATGCTATCTACACGGAGAGAAAAATCTGCCTTTTATAGTATGAAATAGATTGCTGCTATTTTTCTTTAAACTTTTCATACTAATAGAGCAAAGATTTGAGAATTTTTAGCATGAAACTTGTCTATGCTAATAAAGTTTGTCATATAGCCTCTTATTACATACTTATTATACTTTTAATCCAACGGCGCCATGCGAAGATCGCACATAACATCATCCTACTATTTTTGCATAAGTTCTATGCTTTTTCGGGGATAGACTCTTGCAACTGGCGATTAGGGCAGTTCCAATTAAGTAAAGGTGGGCGTGGCCTAATCGCCAGTTGCAAGAGTCTATCCCCGAAAAAGCATAGAACTTATGCAAACATAGTAGGATGATGTTATGTGCGATCTTCGCATGGCGCCGTTGGATTAAAAGTATAATAAGTATGTAATAAGAGGCTATATGACAAACTTTATTAGCATAGACAAGTTTCATGCTAAAAAGACATACGATTGTACTATAATTACTCAAATTTCATGCCTATATAGCATAGAAAATTTCTGTGCATTAAATGTAAACCTTTCTATACTATAAAAGGCAGATTTTTCTCTCCGTGTACCAGTTAAACATTTTAGCTTTGAAATTATTACATGAATAGGTTGCTATTTGTTTTCAGAATCTTGTAAAAGCTAAAAGTATTGTGAAACATAATACAAAATTGTTTTATAAATTTTAATTTAATTTTTTTAAACTAAGATTGTTGTTTTTTTTAGAAATTGTAGCTGATTAAAATTTAACTGGATGTGGTGAGGATGCACCGAGATTGTAGCAACGGGGAGCTAGTCTGCTCTGTTGCGAAACTAAAATTAATCGGACTTCTCCTTCTGTCAATACCATTCTCTGTCACTGCTGGTAAGTATATTATATTTTCTTGAAAGTAAGACATAATTTCTTTAACTTAAGGGGTTTACCCACTTTAGACGCGCTAAAATGAAGGCTGTTTTCAAGAATTTTTCTGATTGGTTTATATTATAAATATTGACATACAAGTTGTTAGACTAAAGAAATACACTTCCGAAATACATGAAAAAATTTTTGTTATTTGTTTTTTTAAAATTTTATATGCATGCAAATGGTAGTTGAAAAAAAATCCCCCAAAAACGATGGGTCCACGCTGTTGATGAAATCTCTGACATGGATTGTCCGAAACCAAAAAATCAAAAAGTTTTGGATTCAGTGTGGTAATAGCTATTGCGCATATCAAGGGATTTTTTATTTTTGCAAAATTGACAAAATGGCGGACATTTTTCGAAAAAACTAACACACGGTTTTCTTTAATTTTTCGAAAAATGTCCGCCATTTTGTCAATTTTGTAAAAATAAAAAATCCCTTGATATGCGCAATAGCTATTACCACACTGAATCCAAAACTTTTTGATTTTTTGGTTTCGGACAATCCATGTCAGAGATTTCATCAACAGCGTGGACCCATCGTTTTTGGGGGATTTTTTTTCAACTACCATTTGCATGCATATAAAATTTAAAAAAAACAAATAACAAAAATTTTTTCCTGTATTTCGGAAGTGTATTTCTTTAGTCTAACAACTTATATGTCAATATTTATAATATAAACCAATTACAAAAATTCTTGAAAACAGCCTTCATTTTAGCGTGTCTAAAGTGGGTAGACCCCTTAATTCAATTATTAAAAAAATTTATACATTCTTTTCCTGAAAGAAGAGATACTCTTTTTGTAATAATTGTGTAATAACATGTAACAATGCGTTACAACGGTAGTGCCGCAACAAATTTTTATTTTTTTTATTTTTTAAAATATTTAAATTTAAATTAAAAAAATTAAATTAATTAATTAATTTATTTATTTTTACATTTAAATTCAACTATTTCCCGGATGAAAAAACTTGTACAAGAAAATGTACAAGTTCTTGTACATGTTCATTAATGAACTTGTACATTTTCTTGTACATGTTCGAGTAATGTTCTTGAACAAGTTCAGCATCCGGAATTGAGATATGTTCTTGTACCAGATGTGGAACATGTTCTTGTACATGTTCATTTATGTCTTTTAAATTAAAAACTTAAAAGGCTGCGCAGTAGCTTTCTTAAGCCTTTACAGCTGCGCAATAATTTTTAGCATTCATAAGTGAAGAGTCTTAATAATTATAACTTATTAAAATTTCAAATTTTTTTCAAAAACATTTTTAAACAAATGTTTTTGTACAAGAACATAAACGTGTTCATGTAAAAGTATTTGTACATGAAACCTTCACAATAAATATGTACAAGAAACATGTTTCAATTCCGGATGCTGAACTTGTTCAAGAACATTACTTGAACATGTACAAGAAAATGTACAAGTTCATTAATGAATATTGAAATACATTACTCCTGACATTTTGAATTACTGTTATGTTTATGGCTTTAGGAACTCTCTAAATCTGAATTAGTAGTTTTCTACTAATGGAAGAGTGCGTATTCGTTTACCAATTGAATTATTAACAGTGTTGACTAATTGTTAGTAAAAAAACTACTAATTGTTAGTAGAAAACTATTAATTCATGGAGTAGATCGTATTTTTTATTATTTCAAATTAGTAAGCCGATTTACTCCATGAATTAGTAGTTTTCTACTAGCAATTAGTAGCTTTTTACTACAGATTAGTCAAAACTGTTACTAATTCAATTGGTAAACGAATACGCATTCTATCATTAGTAGAAAACTACTAATTCAGATTTAGAGAGAACATCTGAATACTGTTTTATAATAATATATAAAAAGTATTACATACCAACATTTTTACCATGTTGTTACATTTATTACAAAATATTACGGTTTATTATAAAGATATTACAAGAAGAGTATACACTTAACTACCTGAGTAAATTACCTATTTGGAGAGTTATTAATACATTTGTTTCAATTTAGCCAATCTTTTATATTAATTTATTTCACAAGGTGGTAATGAAGATTTTTATCATAGTAGGTTAGCCGCTAAGGTTATAACTGAAACAAATTGAGCACCTTGGTAAAATAACTCGCGGTAGGTCTTTTCTTAGCCATCAGATGTACAAAAATGGGGAAAAAAGTGAAATTCAAAATTTTTATTTTTGATAAATACTACCTTGTAGGAAATAAAAAACAGCATATTTTTAAAGATAAATAGTTTAATATTTTTAGAAAATTGATTAAAGATAATTTTTAATTCATCTAACTATTGAATTATTAAAATCGTTGATACATGTATAATGATCATCAATTGACAGATGATTACCTTGTAGTAAATGAGCCGTGGAGAACTTTTCAAAATATAATACTTTCTCGATCAATCTGGTGTGCCTAGTCTATTTCCAGGCCGTATCTCCTATAACCGAATAATAAGTGTAGCGCTAAGAAAATAATAAAAATAGCATGAGTCCACCTAACGGTACTTCGCATCCTACTGCCACACTTTACTACAATCTGTTATCTTACATATACTTACTGCTTTGAGTTTTAAATGTTTTAAACTGTGACTAAAGCCTCAGAACACACTCAAATATTTGACAGACTGTAGATATGTTATTGATAAATGACTTTTTTGTTGAATAAAATATACTAATTGAATAATACAGAATTATACTCAATCCTAATATACACGCTTTAATTTCGGTTCTTATATATGCAGGGTCTTAAAAAGTCTGAATATATGTGTACGTCCTCATGAAAAGGGACTATTTTAGTTTCTTTCATAAGGGCGATATTTGCATTAATGTTCCTGCAAAAATAATCCTTATTGTAATCGACAAAGTGGTCCCTTTTCATGCGGACGTATACATATATCTCGTAACATTTGCAATGCTGAGAAAAATATTTTAAAAAGTTGTACACAATTAAAAAAATAATAATATTGCAGAAAGACTTTTCCCATTTTTCAATATTTTCTTTCGAATTTTCTCGACTCCTCTCGTCACTGCAAAAATAATTTGCCATTACAGATAATAATTTGTCATTGAAGATTCGATGCTTGGGCCGAGCTACGTGTCGTCACTGGCAGTGTTTATTTGCCACTGTAAATTCGTTACTTGGGCTATTAATGAGCTTATAAAAATTTTTTAGTTTATTTGTCCTACAGTTACTGCCAATATATTGAAATGTTTAGTAGAACCTGTTTTCATTTTTGTTTCTTACAATTACTAATATTTTATCAACATGTTCATTATGGGATGATTGTTAGTGGTTGATTTTGATCCATTTGGGGTTGATAGTAATTAGAAAGTATTCTTGAAAATTTCTAATAGGAGCTTATAAAAAATTTTAGTTTATTTGTCTCCCTGTTACTGCCAATTCGTTGAAATATTTAGTGAGGGATGATCGTTAAGGGTTGATTTTGATTCTTTTGGGGTCGATAGTAATTGGAAAATATTCTGCAAGATTTCTAGTATTTATGGAATTTATTAAAACTTGTTGTTTTAGAATAACTATCAAGTTGTCGAAATAAAGTCTAGTGATTCTCCGCGTTTCAATTTCCATGTCCGAACGTGTATCAACCTGCATACATCACTGTTATATTTTGGTGACATGAAATTTTTTATCGATGTTGAGATATGTAAGAAATTCTATTGAAATATTAAAATAAAACAAAAACTGCTATGTAAATATTATATTCACTTTTTTCTATCACTATAAACATTTTTGATGTGCTCTGATTTAAACACATAACACAACTTTCATCATATATAAATAGTTTACTACTAACGAAATAAAAAGATGCCAATAGGCAATTTGGTATTATATTAGTTATATAAAAAATAATATCTAACTGTCTCAACCTACATACATCTCCCATATTTTAAAATAATTAATTTAAAACTAATAATAATGGCAGCTGCGACTTTGTGCTCTCTGCATGCTTCTGCCATCTAATGGCGGCAGGACGTAATAAAGATAAAATTATATTACTTTCCTATTTCCCATTTTGCGATCGCGTTTTTGCATGGATTCGAAAAATCTTTTGGATTTAGAAAATTATGAGATAAAAAAACTTGGTACGTTGGCCAATTTTATAAAAAGTGTTCTTAATTCGAGAAAATAGTGTTTTCAAATCAGTGTTTATCATAATTTTTTGATAAGAATCAGCTCTACAAACATCCATTTACCCCTCAGAATGCATTTTGCTTCCTCGTGGAGGAAGCTATGTAGTCCTTTCGTTTATAAACTTTTTAGAAATGGTGAAAACAAATTTTCCTCTATATAGAAACATGTTATATGAGATCCTGATCAATTGTCCGGATGTATGTATGTGTGTGTGTATGTGTGTGTGGATCGTTTTTGTGAACACGATATCTTTAACAGGTTTTAATGGATTTGGGTAAAATTTGGTAGGCTTATTTAACACATTAATCTCTCAAAAATGACGAGAGGATTTTTAAAAATACCCCAAAAAAAAAATTTTATCGTCTTTTTTCCAAAATTTTTTTTTTAATTGAAAAAATTTTTAACTCGAAAAATTTAAGGTAATATATAATATAATCGTCTTCTTTATGTCAAGATGAATCGATTGATATATATAAAGTATAGATTTGATTGAAATTTAAAGAATTAAAGAAAGTTAAAAAATCAAAAATTCTCATTTTAGCTAAAAAATGATGTGTTTATTTAAATTCATGTTTATATATGAAATAATTTTATTCCCTGCATTAAAACGAATTGGTTGGTATATATAAAGTATAGATTTGATTTAAAATTTGAGAATTAATAAAAATTGAAAAATCGAAAATTCATATTTTAGCTAAAAAATTTTGTGTTTTTTTTAAATACAAGTTGATGAATAAAATAATTGTATTCCTTGCATTAAAACGAATCGATTCGTATATATAAACTTTATGTTACACTCAAAATTAATTAAAATTTTCTTTATTTTTGAAAAAATTTAATTAATTTAAAACAATTTTAACACGAAATTTTTTAAATCAATCAATTGAATTGGACAAATTCATTGCTTCCTTCACGAGGAAGCGAATTTTTTGCTTCACACAATGAGGAAGCATAATGTTTATGAAATAAACATAAAGGACCCCCTCCTTGTTTCCTTTATATTTAGTTGATTTATTAAGTCTTTTTTCTAGAAACCAAAAGATAACCTAAAATTTCGGTAAATCAAAATCGCCAGGGTTGTTCGAGAAATTACTTCTCCTAATATTAATTTATCTAATGGTAGTTGCTCATCATTAATTTGCTGTATGCTCTATTTAAAATGTTCAAATTTATTGAATTTTTTTTATTTGACCCAAGTAGCACGATATATCAACCAGATGTTACGGTGATATCACCAGGGAATGTCACCGTGACATCAGGAAAATGTCAAAATGTCCGCCTTACGGTGATATCACACGGTGACATCGAGGTAATATCATGGTGACATCAAGGTGATATCATGTTGATATTTTACAGGGATTTAAAAGTTTTAAAAAATTATTATTTTTTTTATTTATTATTATTTTCTTTTATTTATTATTATTTTTTAAATTATTAAAAATTTTAAGTCCCTGTAAAATATCAACATGATATCACCGTGATATGACTGTGATATCACCTTGATGTCACCATGATATCACCTCGATGTCACCGTGTGATATCACCGTAAGGCGGACATTTCGACATTTTTCTGATGTCACGGTGACATTCCTCGGTGATATCACCGTGACATCTGGTTGATATATCGTGCTACTTGGGATCGTCTACTAGCAAAAACAGAGGACATCTCTTGTTGCGATAAGAAACGTCTTTATGAACATTTAGGATTCAGGCAGCTTGCAACCCTTGCAATATTTAAATTTATCAATTGTTTTATGACAATTGATACTATTTGATACTATTTAATTGTAAAGAAAATTGATATAAACAAAAAAAATCGTTTTTTAATATCTACAAATTCCATGTAATGAAACATTTTCTTAAATGAAACCCTTGGTTATTTGTAGTGTAGAAAACTTTAAAGCGATTTTCTCACATTTTGCATTTTGCAACTAACTGCACCAACCCTTTTAAAATTTGATACACTCTATCTGCACATAAATCCTGAAGTAACAACGTCGATTTTATTTTATAATTGATATTACCTTTACCTAAAATTTACTGCGTAATCTTACGAATCTTTTATATAAGCTTACAGCAATATATTGTGCTGTATGGGTTACAATTATTGGAGTTTTTTTACATAAATATGTTATTTCTTGTTACAATAAACATTTTTTGAAAGTAGCGCAATAAGTAATGTAGTTCTTTTTATTTACAGAACCTTTCTTGAAAGGAGGAGGTCGCTGTCCAGCCTACGAAGAACAAAATGTGTGTCCAGATAGAGCTCCTGACTGTAAAAGTGATTTTGAATGCCAGGCATCAAATGAGCGTTGTTGCAAAACTGCATGTGGCTTTAAATGTGTTACGGGAGAGCTGACAGGATGTGAGCAATTAGCCCTTGCCGCTACCAGAAGATTAAGATCTTTAAGTTCTATCGAGTCACAGCAAATGATACCAAAATGCAACAATGTCACTGGTGAATTTGAAAAAATACAATGTAATGCTGAAGATAATTACTGCTGGTGCGTCAATCAATTTGGAGAAGAAATGCCTGGAACACGTGTAGCTAACAAAACTTTTATTGATTGCGATAATCCAAGACCTTGCCCGGCTCACACTTGTCGCATGCTTTGCCCTCTAGGATTTGAGGTATCGTAATAAGAAAATTTAATAAATAATATAAGCTATTATTTAATAATTAAATGAATAAATTCATTAAAATAACTGCAAATGCCATAAACTAAATGCTTCTGAAGGATAGGCACACGGAGGCTTTTTATAAATATATTTTTTAATAAGAGAATAATCTTATTTCAAGAGTTTTTTTGTCACATTTCGATGTAATATCACCAATTTAAATGCAAATTGCAGAATATCGTCTATACTATCTCAAAATTTTAGAAATTTTATTTAGCTTTTATCAGATATTTTACAATCAAATTAATAAACTTAAATGTGTTTAGATCCAGCCAGAGACTGGTTGTCGAAAGTGTGAGTGCAAAGATCCTTGTAGAGGAGTAACTTGTCCTGGCATCTCTCAGTCTTGTGAACTAATTGAAGTTCCTTGTGCTCGTCCTCCGTGTCCTCCGATTCCTAGTTGTCGAAAAGCTAAATCATTTGCCACAGTGTGTCCTGTTGGTGAACCACTCAAAATCAGTGACACACCTAGACCATTTCTTTGTGGCGATTTACCTGGAAAACCTAACTGTCCTCCACTTTACCGATGTCTAGTACAACCTAATCAAGAATATGGCGTCTGCTGTCCTTCTAGCATCATTCTTAAGAGATCTGGAACCTGTCCAGTGAGTGAATCACAGTTTTGCGAATCCAAATGTCAACACGATTATGACTGCCCAACTCCACAAAAATGCTGCAACAGCAAAAGGTATTTTCCAAACTTTTGTCTCTAAACATTGTTTCAAAACTTTTCGGCTTAGAGTTCATCGTGTTTAAAACATGTTCAACTAGGTGTTCATTTTATGACCATTTAGCTTCCTCATCATGATACACTTATATTCAAGATTAAAAGAAGGATTACAACTAAAATAGCGATCAATTTTATAAATATTGGTAAAATGTAAACTTTATATACATTAATCTATTCGTTTTTATGCCAGGAATACAATTTTGACGAGAATTAATTAAAATTTCTGTATAAGAAAAAGTTATTTCAAAAAATACAGAAAACGATTATTTTCAAAAATTCAAAAAAATGATTAAATCTATAGATTTCAGTAAAATATGAACTTTATATAGGTTAATCGACTCGTTTTAATACAAGAAATAAGTTTTTTTTACCAAACAAAATTAAATTTACAAAGAAAAAAAATTTTGAAAAAATTGTAAAAAATAAAATGTGAATATATTAGAAAATCCTTGTGTCAGATTTAAGGCATTAATGATTACAATAAGCATACAAAATTTCAGGACAATCCGTTAAAACGTTTTTGAGATAATTTGTAAACAATATTTTGTGACACGCACACACACACATACACACATATATCTGGACATTTGCTCAGGACTTCATGTATATTAATTCTAGATGAAAATAAGTCCATATAACCCAATTTTAAAAAATCGAAAATCGTCACGAATGCAAAGCTTCCTCATGAGGAAGCAAAAACTAAAACCTTTCTTATAAACATAAATCGTCCTCCCCTCTTTCCACTTACTTGTAATATTTTGAAAATGAATTTTATACGTTATTTCAGATGTGGAAGCAGTGTATGTACAATGCCCCAGGGAACAAGTCTTTGTCGCAAAGATCAAATGTTAGCGGAATTATTAATCGTATCTGAAAGACAAGGACGCGGATACATTCCACAATGCACAGAAGGTAAATTTATAACTTAATTAATTTCTGAGGTATGTGATTTTGATCTCAAATAATAATATATTGTAATATATTAATATAATCAAAAAATTCGTATAAAGAATTGGGATTCTATATCGAGATCCTTCATAAGTTCCCTCTCACGTTCTTGTGCAAGTTATTACATAGGTACTTTTTATAATTACAAAATATAATTAACTAAAAACTATTACAGATGGGGAATATACTGCAAAGCAGTGTTCCCGAAATGGTCTTGTTTGCTGGTGTGTCGATCCTGACGGAAAAAAAGCACTCGGCTCCATGGGTCCTGCAAACAAAGTTGATTGCTCACCAATTATTAAAGCCAGAGCTCTTTCTCCTTCATGCATTCCTCAACAATGTGCCCAAGTATGCCAATACGGCTTTAAAATTGATAATTCTGGTTGTGCAACTTGCGAGTGTGATAATCCTTGTGAAGGGTAAGATTTAAATATTATTTACAAAAAAATATTGAAGGAATGTTTTACATTTTTTAAACTTTTACTTTAATCAAGATTATACATTTTTTTCTATTTAACGAGCATTCAAAAATCACTCACGACATGAAATATTTATTTCATAAAATGTTTTTTCTATCCTACAGACACAAACATGTCGATTTTAGATACCTGACGTTCGCGTGTAAAACCAATAATTTATTTTTCCGTCTAAAAATGGCGTCTATTTTTTTCCCAGGATAAAAACATCAACAGCTGACCCATGTGTTTTTTATCCTACGACAAAAATGGACGCCACCGTATTGAAAATCCCAGTACAAAAAAATGTACATGTTCAGCAGCTGAACTTCTACCTGTTCCAGTGAGAACATGTACAAGATCTTATACAATATTTACACCAGAATTTGGAACAAGTTCTTGAACAAGATTTTGTACAAGTAAATATATTTAATATTTACACTGCCGCTCAATAATATTTGCCCACCTTACAGCAAATCAGGGCTTTACAAAAAGTTTTGTATCTTTAATTCTTATAAAGATATAGCCTTCGTCAAATATTTATCTTAAAGCTTATATCTTTGACTTGAACGATACAAAAGAGAAAATTAAAAAAAATTGTATTGTTTAATTGTTCAAAATGAAAAAAAAATTCATTTTTTTGTGAATTTCAAATTGATACAGTTTGTGAAGAAATGATCAAGATTTAATTCTGGATACGGCATTTAAAAGCTTATTTCATCACCTTTCCAACGCTTTTTTGAAAATTTTTCTACGATGATTTTTGAGCAAGATATGACCAATTGTTTAAAAAATAACCTTTTTTTTCAATTGTTGATAACTTATGAACAATTGACTTTTGAAAAAAATTGTTCAGAGAAAAAATGTTCCTTATTATGTATAGAATTAGGAAAAAAAGATTGAAAAATTTTTTTAAATAATTTTGTTTTTCTCTCATTTTGACCTCATATATTTGTCTGTAAAAGGTACGTTACTCACTGCTTGTACAACATTCCCACCTAACTAGGATTTACAAGAATTCTCACTTAAAAATATTTTTTTAAAGGTTAATGTGCTAAACAAATCTCTTATAAGTTTCTTTGATTTTAAATTAAAGTTTACTTATTTTTTCATTTAGATATCCTTGTCCCGACGGGGAAGAATGCTCATTGCAAAAAGAAGGAGGTTGCACGGACTTTTTATGTTTGTCAAAACCTGAATGTAAACCAAAGAAGACAATTCAAAACGTTTGTTTAACTGGAATTCCTTTAATTGATCAAAAAGGCAACGAAGTGACTTGTTTTGCTAATAAAACTTGTCCGGATAATTATAGCTGTATCATGATTTCAGAAATAAATAAGTCTTTTTGTTGCCCAGTCATCACAAAATCTTCAAAATTACCATCAAGTATGTAACATAATTGTATAAATTCCACTACATTTACAGATATTTAAAAAAAAATTTAATTTTAAAAAATAATTTTTTTTACATCATAAAAGTGGTCTTTCATAAACCACGTAGCTCATTTAGTGGAGCGAAGGTGTTAGTAAAATAGTTCACTAGGTAATTTTCGCGAGAATGTGGATTTAGGCTTTGGAAGAACGTAACTTTTTCGTCAAATATTCTTTCTTTGTGCGAACTGTGTCGGATGGTCGCAATCCAAATGACCGAAATTAGCTGATCGTATTCTTTCTTCAAACATTCAAATTTGAATTTGAGTTTAAAATCCTCATAACAGTAATAAATACAAAAATCTGATAAAATATTATGATTCTCTAAAGCCAAAATATTAAATAAAATTATTTTAAAGTTAAAAATTCACAATTTTGATTGGATCAGTCCATTATATTATATTTCGCACAAAGTCGTTGCGGCATATTTTTTTGAAAAAATGTTATACTTTGTAATAATGATTTTGAACAAGCGTACAGCATATTTTTAGGAAATATGGCACAGTTTTAGTTAAGTGCAGAATCAACATCAAGGGTTGAGGTAACGGTAAAATTTGTGGTCTTGTGAACGTTAATTTTTTTTAATTTGTTTTCGTTAAAAACTTGTGAGTATACGCCATTAAAGATGGTATTTATTAATTAATGTTAATTGTTTCAAGTGTGCCAGTATCTTCGGGATTTCAACGAGCGAATGGAGGGAACGAGAGTGGGAATGAGTTTGGCTATACCACCTCCTCAATGCGAAGAAAATGGTTCTTATAAAGCCCTGCAATATCACAATGGCGCTTTTACATGTGTAAATGAACACGGTGTTATTTTAAAAAGTGAAGTAGATGCCGAAATAACCAACTGCCAGAATGTCAGAGACCATTTCCAAATATGTGGTAAATTTTCTTGTGAACTTAAATGTCCCTATGGCTACGAATTAGATGCAACTAAATGCCAGCAGTGCAGATGTAGAGAACTGTGTAAAGAAGTTGTATGTCAAGAACATCAAACCTGTGCAACTATTGAAGTTAACTGCGGACCTGATCAATTTTGTCCAGGTGTACCAGCCTGTTTAGCTACAAAATCTGGTGAGGAAGATAATTTAATTATGCAAAATTATATACATAGAAAACAGGTGCAGTGGTTTATTCTCTTGTTACTTTAAATAATATTAAAACACATAGAAGGTGGTGCCCTTATACTACTTTAAATGAGGAAGCAATTATGGATTTATTATTTATTTCCAATAAAAATAAACGGGACGCATGAATATTCCCTTCATTAGACTTGACGGAATTTTTGTGGTGTCAAATTAAAAATTATCGAATTTACATTCAGTAGAATTTTAAAAAATAGATTTTATAATGAGCCTAATTTTAATAATGAAAAATTTCTATTTAACAAAACTCTGATTCTGTAGAATTTCTATTTAACTGAACTTAGATAAAGCAGATTTTCTAATATATCAAATTTTCAAATAACACAATTTCCATTTAATAAAATTGATATCTAGAAAAATTTTCATAAAAAAGAATTTTTATTTATCAGAATTGATTATTTGTCGAATTTCTATTTATCCGAATATTAACTTAAAATTATTTTAATTAACAGAATTTCCAATTAAAATAATTTCTATATAACAAAATTCTCATTTATCAAAAGTTTTATTCAAAAAATTTCTATACTATCTAATTTTTTTTAATAGTATTGTCATTTAACAGAAATTCTTCTTAGCTAAATTTTGAGACAGAGAATTTCTATTTCACCGATACTTTATTTGACAGAAGTTTCACTTCTCTGAATTTTCATTAGATAGAAATGTTAAAATGTCGAATTTCCATTTGATCGAACTTTCATATATCAGATTATCCACTTGGTATACAAATTTCAGCGGGAGTTTTAAAATCAACCAATTAAAAATTATTAAGAAAATTGTGATTGGTTGATTTTAAAACTCCCGCTGAAATTTGTATACCAAGTGGATAATCTGATATATGAAAGTTCGATCAAATGGAAATTCGACATTTTAACATTTCTATCTAATGAAAATTCGGCTAAGTGAAACTTCGGTCAAATAAAGAATCGGTGAAATAGAAATTCTCTGTCTTAAAAATTTAGCTAAGAAGAATTTCTGTTAAATGACAATACTATTAAAAAAAAATTAGATAGTATAGAAATTTTTTGAATAAAACTTTTGTTAAATGAGAATTTTGTTATATAGAAATTATTTTAATTAGAAATTCTGTTAATTAAAATAATTTTAAGTTAATATTCGGATAAATAGAAATTCGACAAATAATCAATTCTGATAAATAAAAATTCTATTTTATGAAAATTTTTCTAGATATCAATTTTATTAAATGGAAATTGTGTTATTTGAAAATTCGATATATAAGAAAATCTGCTTTATCTAAGTTCAGTTAAATAGAAATTCTACAAAATCAGAATTTTGTTAAATAGAAATTTTTAATTATTAAAATTAGGCTCATTATAAAATCTATTTTTTAAAATTCTACTGAATGTAAATTCGATAATTTTTAATTTGACACCACAAAAATTCCGTCAAGTCTAATGAAGGGAATATTCATGCGTCCCAAATAAACATCCTTTTAAAGGAAAATTTACATATTGCAGCGAAATATTGCATTGTATTAGCTGATTTGATGTTTCACAACTTTTATAGGCCAGTGTCCATATTTGGTTCCCAGTTCATCAAGCTGCGAATTAGAGTGTAATAACGATCAAGAGTGTTCTGGAGAAGACAAATGCTGTTCTACCGGTTGTGGTACGCAGTGTGTTCCTCCTGTTGTTGCTACAGCCTGTCAACATGCAAGAGCTGTTGCTGAACATGAAGCTAGAGAATCTGGAGAGCCAGCAAGAAGAACGTATATTCCTGGTTGTGATGAAAATGGTACTTTTGAACCTGTCCAGTGCCATGATGGAATGTGTTGGTGTGTTGACGATGAAGGTCGTGAAACTCCAGGTATTTATTAGTAATATATAATTATTAAAAGAAAAAATACGTTTTAAGAAAAACGCGTTTAAATACGTTTTTGATCCAGAAACTAGTGTTTTAACTATTGCCTTGAAAATCTTATGTGTTCTAAAATAACTATTCCACTAAAACCAAAATTTACAATAACATGCTAATAGTGCTTTCTCCTGACAATTAATACAAATATATTGACAAAGAAGCGAAAGAATGGAGCCATATCGCGCGCATCGTTAAGTGCATTTGGTAGCATTTGAACTACTACACTTATGCATACCCTAGATATTTATACTTCGAATTAAAAATTAATAATGTAGGATCATATTCTACAGATAATAAACTAATTTTTAAAACAAAGAAATGTAAATGTATTAATACAATTTTTCATATAAATACAAGATTATAATTTTTATTTCGCAGGTACTCGTGTCTTAGAAGGAATAGTTCCGAGATGTAATAAACCACAACATTGTCCTGAAATCGACTGTAATCTAGAATGTCAGGATGGCTTCGAGTTGAACTTAGAAAGTGGTTGCCCTATTTGTTCTTGCAGAGATCCTTGCAAAAAAGTGACATGCCGTGGTGAAAACGAGGCTTGCAGAATGGTGGAGGTAGCTTGTAGTGCTCCTCCTTGTCCTCCAGTTCCTGTGTGTTTGCCAAAGAAAGAGAATCCTTGCCCAAATGGAACTCCTCTTCTTGCTCAGGATGGAATGCCTACAATTTGTGGCCCACATGGACGTCGCTGTCCTTCTACACATAAATGTGAACTTTCTCCTCTTGATGAATATGCTTTCTGCTGTCCAAAACCACGCGATGTTTGTTTTGAACCTCCTCGCATGGAACCCTGCTCTAGTCAGAATATCAATGAAACTGAAAGATGGTACTTCGATTCTGAATTAAATGAATGCCGGTTGAAAAAAAAATGTAGCACTGGCTATAATGATTTCTCAAGCAAGCAAGTTTGTGATATTGTCTGCCCAGTACTTTCTCCTTGCGAAAAGCTACGAGAAACAAATTTGAGAAATTCACAAAGACTTAAACGGCCCACATTTTTACCAAGGTGTAAATTTTAATATTTTAACTCTTTACTAATATAAACTTATTAAAGAGAAATATGCACCAAATAGCAGAATTTCTTAGAAGCCTTTCAGTAAAAAATCTATTTTTCTCAAAACAGTATTTTTCAAATTTTATGTCGTTCTAAATCAGGGATTATTTGTAGGATGGTCTTCAAATTTGAACAGACTGTTCTAAAACTGCTTTATTAAAAAATCCCTAATATATATCTTCCACATTTTTTTATTAAATAAAGAAGAAAATAAAAATTAATATTTCTATTCTAGGCGAAGCCATAAGCTGAAATGCCCAGGTGAAAATATTCACGTTGAAATCAATGTGGTTATTAAAGACGTAGATTTTCGGATGGTGTTTTGAAACAATTCCAATTAGAAATACACGTGGAAATTGATAAAAAAAAATAAAACCGTTTATTATTCCTAAGTGGTTACATACAAGAAAAAATAAACTTCATCTATGAATTTGGAGACCTCTAAGGGTCTCTTTTTTGTGTAGAATTTCACGTGGAAATGTTTCGAAATACCACGTAAAGTACGTCTAGGTACATGGATATTCACTTAGATTCTTATGCAAAATACCTGAATTTCTACATGTACTCCAACGTGAACATTTTCACCTTGGTGGATATTTCAGTTTTTGTATGTGACGTCCTTGAAATATCTCATGTTGTTTTTAAAATAAAATTACTTTTATTTTGTTAATTTCTGAATGTCATTCATAGTAGATTTTCAGTTGTTTAAAATAGTAATTAACTTTAATGACCTTTAGAACTTAATACAAATTAAATTATAAATTGAAAACGCATTGATTGGCCTATTTTTGAATCTTATATGTTCGTAAATTAAAAAGTTATTGACATTCCAGATGCAATCCAGATTCTGGAACTTGGGAACCAATTCAATGTCTTGAACATGTAGGGTTGTGTTGGTGTGTCAACAGAAGAGGTGATCCACTAAAAGGTTCTTTAACACGTGGAGCAGAACCAAAATGTAACTTTAGACAAGCCAGACGTGGAAGAGGACCAATGGAAATCGACACGTCTATTAAAGGTTATATAGAAAATGCATTGATGGGTTTAGAAAATGAAAAAAGATTTGTTAAAGTTTTTCAAACAAGATGTCAGGCGATGAATGCAAGAAGACAGGTTACAGCAATTTGTGACAGAATAGGAAGGTTTGAACCAACACAATGTGCAGAAGAAACATGTTGGTGTGTTGACGAAGCAGGAAATCAAGTCATTGGTTCTGAACCGTTTTTGAAAGGGACATATATTTGCTGTTAGTACTGTTAAAGTTTAAACCATTTTTTGCTTTTTTATATTTATAACAAATATAAAATAAATAAGTTAATAAAATTAATTTTAATAACTTTTTGTAAATATAATTTTTCATAAATTTTATTGTACTTTTAATATAAAGATATAAAAAATTAATATTTTTTAGTACCGACCTCTATTGAAAGTGTAGAAGTTGCACTTCATATCCCTGGGAAATTTCTTCTTAATGAAGATTTGCGTTTAGCAGAAGAAGCGAAAGACTTACTTAAAAGTTTTGGAGCAAAAATTAGAGATGGAATTGAAATCCTAATGAATTATGATTCTGTCGTCCTAGCTTTTGATATCATCGGATCAAGAAAAGTGGACGTAGCTTTTCACTTGGAAGAGTTAATTAGGACACAAAATCTTTCTTTATTAGGGCGCTTAGCTGACGCAACAACTTCTCGTTTTACGTACAAAACAAACATGAATCCCGTTCAAAGTAGAATTATTGCTTTAGAACAAAGAGAAATATTCACTGAATTACATACTCCACTTTATCAAACTGATACTGTTGTTCTTGGTGCTGCTAGTGCCTTTGTAATTTGTAGTCTTTTAATTCTTCTCATGCTATACAGAAAAAAGGTAATTATATTTATCTCAATAAATAAGTACTTTTAAATGCCATAAAAAATTTAACTTTTACTAAAAAAGTTATTTGCTTTTTTAGATGAAATTGAAGGGAACTCGAAAAGACTTTGAAACTGAGCAGAATTTCTTTGCATGTCAGCAACGATCGGTTAATGTTATTTCCGGAATTGATAAAAAAGAAAAGGTGATGGATATAGAAAGTTTAAATGCAGAAGTTATTTCAAAACGAGATGTTATGATTTCATAATTATGTTATTATGAATAAAGCCAACAAAATTCTTGATAACAACTATCTTATGTATCTCTTGTAACAAGAGAATTTAAAATTATTTTTGGGTATACCTTTCTTTTGTTAAGAAAGTATTAAATGCCAAATTGTATTTAAAACCATAATTTATTGAATAGAAATAATTTTTTTATCAACTTTAAAAATGTTTGTGAAGTATGTTATTTTCAGAGAGCTATTTTAAACTGCGTTTATTAATTCTTATAGCTAATGCATTATGTGTTCAATATCTAGTAGATCTTTAATTCGGCAATTAAAATTTAATTTTTAGATTGTTTTAAACAAAAAATTTTAATTTAACATTAAAATATTAATACAAACTTTTAAATTTTCTAAAGACGGGTAATATTTAAAATTTTATAATTTAGAGTTTGATTTTATTTTGGACAAATGTAATTATTTATTATATGTAAAAAACAGTTTTGTAAACAACACAGATAATCTTAATGCATAAGTAGGAAACATTACACATATGAACTTAGGAATCTTTTTGAGTGATCAGTATATAAAAAATATTTTTAGGTTTTAAATAAGATGTACATAGTAGCTTTGAAGAAGGTAGTATTTTATCTACTCTTTGAAGATTGTTTTCAATTTTTAATGTCAAAGACAAGCGACTGAAGGAAAAAACTTATGTATTTAATATTTTGCATTGTATATTTTAATACGTAGAGATACTCATCATTCGTTAAAGAGTAGAATAAAAAAGAAATATATTTATTTATTACTTCATTTTTTTAATTTCCGTAATAAACTTATAAAATACAGTTCTTTGTTATATTTTTTATCATATATGTATTGGATGCCCTGTAAAAAAGAAGAATTGGTCGACGTTGAAAGTAGGGGTTTTTGGGGTCGCTGAATACGAATGTGATGTCATTTTAAAAAAATCCAACATTTCGGACATCATACAGTTGGCAGAAACATTTCATATTTTTTTCATATTTTTGTCCCTTGATGTCTAAAAGAAATATTAATTTATGATAATTAAAACTAACGTATACTTTTAAAAATTGAGTTTAAGTAGGAACACGATTTCAGTGTTTTCGACAGTGTGAACCAGACAACGTGGAACGCCATGATAGTGAAGTAGTTAACCGTTTGAGGGACACATTATTCTATCCAACGGATTTCCTTCACACCTCGTGTATTTATGTTTTCAAGGTAACTAATTACGAATCCGGTGTCAGTGTTTCAAAATTCAAAATAGCGGATCCAATATGTCGGACAAATTTTTAAAAATTCATCGAATCCGCTTGAAATTTGTTACTCGGAGGTTTTCGGGGTCGCTGATTGCGAATCCAGTGTCAGTTTTTCATAATTCAAAATGGCGGATCCAATATGGCGTACAAATTTTCTTAAAATTTGTTATTCAGGGCTTTTCGGGGTTTCTTATGACGAATTAGGTGTTAATTTCTCAAAATTCAAAATGGCGGATCTAATATGCCAACTGTTGACAGTCCTACTAAAATATCCTTGTTTCACATCTAACAGAAATAAGTCACTTGAATCTGCCATTTTGTATTTAAAAAATCTGATGCCAGATGCGTAATCAGCGACCCCGAAAACCTTTAAGTGATAATAGTTGATAAGATGAATATAAGTATCTAAACACTAGCGGTTGAATTACATAAAATAAACCACAAATAATGGAACGGTACAGCCAGTCAAGGTATTAAAATAAAAACTTCACAAAGTTTTTTACGTTTCGATGACCATGTGTGTCATCATCATCAGAATTTAATAAGATGTCAACAAATCTAAAAATAATACAATGTAAAAGTAAAAAATATAAAATACAAAGAATACAAAATACAAAAAATAAAATAAATAAAAAATAAAAAAATAAAAAAAATAAATAAATAAAAAAAAAAATAAAATACCAAAAAAATAATACAAAAAAGCAAGAAATAAATTAAAAAATTAAAAGTTAAATAACAAAAAATAAAAAATAAATCATACACACTCACGTCAAAAAAATAAAAAGTAAAAAACAAAATTAACAAAATTGTCAAAAACGGGAACAAAATAATAAAATTAAATCAACTGAACAGAGTCAGTGTCGACGGAAAACTGATCAATAATATAAATTACAATCGATGATATAATGTAAACCACAATCAACGTAAACAGAAGTCAAAATATTATTAATGAAAATTTTGAATTTTAATAATTAGCAAAATTAAACGGTTGTATACTAATGAAACTAAATATTAAATATAAGAAAGAGAACCGTCATAAGCAGTGTTAAATTTTTCAGTATCAATTTGTTTGTTTAAAGCTAAATCTTTTTCTTTTTTAATAAAAAACATTTCAGCTATTAATCTTTTTCTTTTATTATTTTCTTTATGCAATATCTGGACATTAGACCAATCCATATCATGACCAGTACTAATTTTATGTTCAGAAATTACAGAAAGTTAATCTTTATTATTATTAATGATATTACTTTTATGTTCATAAATTCTTCTTCGTAAATTTCTTTGTGTTTGTCCTATATAACACTTATTACAATTATTACAATTGATTTTATATACTACATTCAATGTGTCAAGTACATCCAATGAAAAGGATAATTGTTATTATTTAAAACTTCCTTTATAAATTTAAGTGATAAGTTTCAAACAAATGGGATGAATTTTTTTTCAATTTGTCCGCCATATTGGACCCGACATTTTGAATATCTGACTTCATATTCGTAATTCGCGTTCCAGAAAATCCCTGTGTAACAAGTTTCGAGTAAATCCGGTGAATTTTTAAAAAAGTCATCCGACATCTTGAATCCGCCATTTTGAATTTTAAAAGTCTGATGCCAGTTTCGTATTTACTGCTGTAAAATACTTAGAGAAAGTGTACTCTACTTTGCTCAACAGGATATTCTTTCGATGGGCTGTACATTTAATTAAAAAGAGATTCCACGCTTAGTGAGCTTTATATCTTGCGGATGTAAGGAGAACTAACAAACAATATCAAGTACATTTAAAGAAAAATTAACATTTTTCGATGTTAAATGTGCTTTATTTTTTACAATATAGAGTAATTTTAATTTAATATTATTATTTTTCAACCTAAAACATGTCATTTAAAAGAAATAAAATTTAAAAGTCAGAAAAATAATCATTTATAAAAAATAAATGAATATTTAAGAGGACACTGTCCTTTAAATTTTTGAATCTAATTTTTTAACAAACATACAATCACCGCAATAATTTTTGACAAATAACTATAATATTTTACCGAAAGTTACATAAAATACTATAGATTTAGGTTTTTAGATTCAAAATTCTGAAGTCGATTTTTGGCCGCTTTTTGATTGCGTTCTGACCCACTGTGCATTTCAAGGGGTCAAAACAGAAAGAAATGTTTTTAGAGTTGTAGCACTCCACTACGGAAGCTTCTACGCGCTACCACAAAACCAAGTTTATGCTCGATTCATTTTAGCCTCGAAAACTAAAGAACCGTGTGTGATTTTACTGTTTCCATGTTTTTGACGTGAAAAACCGCGAGGTGGTTCGAGTGTTCGGTCGTTCGCACGTTCGCGATTCGACAATTTGTCCAAAATCGTGTAACATTGTCTTTTAGTTATATTTATAGATAAAAGTAAATACGTTGATATTTCGATTCTTAAATTTTATGTAAGATTTTATGATGTCCGCAATTAAATAAAGTTTTTGCTTTTATTTTGAGTAGAAAATATTGTTATTTTGAGGTGGATTGGTGTTTTTCTTTGTTATCTATGTAATAGTAAATATCAATAAATAACACTGGGTTACAAAAAAATGGTTGTGTTGTGTTTATTTCAAAATTCCTGTGTTTATTGAATATTTAGGTGTCAATGAACAAGAAAATACAAGGACAATTTTTTTTAATTTGTACAGATCCCTGAAAACCGGGGTTAAAGTGTCAAAAAATGGCTTTTTTGGCACTTTTTGGAGTGCTGTAAAATGAAACCGTGAGGGCATAGTAAGCTCCAATAGGGCTCAAAATAAAGCTTAAACCTTCAACTTTAAGACCGAAGACTGAAATATCATGCGATAATTGCGGAGACTTCAAATACGTAATCAGTGACACCAAAAATACCGGAGTAACAAGACTCAAGAGAATTTTGTACGGTTTTTAAAAATTCGTTCGCCATATTTGCTCCGACATTTTGAGTTTCGAAAATCTGACTTCAAATACGAAATCAGTAACCTTGAAATCCACGAGTAACAAGACTTAAGGGAATTTAAACGGTTTTTAAAAAATTCGTCTGCCTTATTGGATCGGCCATTTTGATTTTTTAAAAACTAACCTGAAATTTGTAATCAGCAACCCAAAAAACCTCTAACTGGATAGTATCAAGAAAATTCGATTATGAAGAATCGATTTTTATCAAGCAAACATTCCGAAACATTTTAACTATAAATTCAATGATACGTTAGTGATCATAGTTAATAATAAAGGTTCCCCGCAATTATCGCATGAAATTTCAGTCTTGGGTCTTAAAGTTGAAGGTATAAGCTTTCTTTTGAGGTTCATTGGAGCTTTTTATGTCCTCACGTTTTCCTTTTATAGTACTTCAAAAAGTGCCAAAAAAGCCATTTTTTGACACTTTAACCCCCATTTTCAGGGGTCTGGACAAATTAAAAAAATTTTTCTGTGTATTATCTTTTTCAGTGACACCGAAATATTCAATAAACACAGGGATTTTGAAATAAACACAACACAACCATTTTTTTATTACCCAGTGTAATCGGTTTATTTTAATATAAGGTTATGTAGTATGTATGCACGTGAGATTTTACATAATAATTGTCCTTCCTTTTCACATGTTTATCTTATATTATTTACAATAATATACATATAATGCTTAGAGAGAAGCAATTACTTAATAGGATGTTAATAATTCTGTGTAATTTCGTGCGGGCTTTTTTTATTTCTATGTAAAGTCATCCTGACAAGAAATTGCTTTTTGACAGCTTTAGAATTTGATAAGCATGATAAACAACACTTCCAAATAAACAAAGTTTTATGAAGAGGGATCAGTCCAAATTATTTTGAAACATGTTGTTTTTTAATACTTAATATAATATTCAATGTAACTAACAAATTTTTGATTTTCAACAATCATTGACACATAAATTTATATACAAATTTTTTACAAAAATGAATGTCTGACAATTATATACTTTTTGACTTTTATGCGCGATTGGCGATATTGAAATTTGTATAAACTATTTCAATTGCTAAAGTCTTTTTTATGAATTTTAGCTAATCTATGGAATTCTTTTCTTATATAGTACATGATATATTTCGTTTCTTAATATTCAAAAAAGTAATTGAATTTCCAAAGAATTCCAATTAGAATAATTGGAAACACATTTGATGATAAATTTTAGATAAAAGTATTCTAGCGAATGTCCGCTATACTGTAAGATTATTTTGATAATCTTGTAGTAATCTTATACACAAAAGTTTAAAAAACAATTTAAATACTGTAAGCCTCCGGATCTCTGGTTGAAACTCATGTGAAGTTTACAGCAAGATGTTGTGCTGTGTGGGCCTATAGCACCAAATTTTGTCTGAAAATTTTAAAAATATTTACTGACAATTTTCTGAATATTAAATTGTAAAATTTAGTAAAAATTGTGTAAAAATTTAGATGTTTCAATAATAAAATAAATGTTTGACGTAAATCTTTCCTGAACATTTAAATGAAATTTTTGTCTAAATTGATTGAGGCGAAAATTTTATTTAAATGTTTAGGAAACTTTTGCGCCGATCATGTATTTAATCAGTGATTTAAATCTTTGAACAAATTTCAATAAACTTTGCAACTACAAATATTCCGAAAATTGCCAGTATATATTAAATGAATTTTTAGGAAATTTTTTATGCTGTGGGAGATGTTTAACATGTTTATAAAAAATTATTTAAACAACAAAGTGTAACGTCAAAAACTTTTACATTATTTTATAAAATTATGATATATTTTCTCAAAATTTAATTTCAATTTCTTTTGGACTCGCTTTATTTTTCCTAAGCAAGTCCAAAGTTCGCGCAACTACCTGGAATTTCCATGCGTCAGCACCCCCAGTATATTCAGCTATTTGAAACAATTGCTAAATGCTTGAAATTAAATTATATTTCGAAATTAAAATTCTTTTATTTTAGCTCTTGAAATCGGTATGGGTTATTAACCTTTTCCTGAATTATAATTATTAATTATCTACATATTGGAAGTTCGATGACCCGCGACAACGAAAAGGAGCATAGATACGGGCTCCCCGCGTATTGCAGTACCATCGGAACCTTGCGACGAGCCTCCTGACGTTTTTCGCTAATAACTCAGGAACTATTCAACATAAAATTATGCAAATATGATATTCGGATTCGGAACGACGCCGCAAGATTTAAAAACCTTGGTGCAACCTTCCCAATCCATAAACAACGAAGTTACCAATTGGGAAGGTTGCGGTCTTGAAATTTCTATTCTGTTTAATTTTCTGAATCCAATGAACCTTACCGCAATGTTCCCGAATGATAAACACCGATGTTAATCCGGATAACCTGAAAAGCGTCGCGGATCATCGGATATCCATGCCTATACTCCTTAAAATGTAGTAGGATGAATAGAAACGCATGAACTCGCATGTGTATACCTAAATATTACTATTATCATCATTATTGTTTAAGATATACGAATGGTTATATTATTATAAAATAGTCACAAATTTTGAAGTTTATCAAACCAAAATTTGGAAATTGTGACTTGATCGTTGTTCCAATGATGAGATTGGATGTCATCTTAAATGAAAAAACTATAATTTTCAGCAAAATCGAGAGTTACGATGAAATCTCCATGACCTGTTGACTCCTTTAAATTTTGCAAATGATCTGCTTGAGATGTGGCAATAAAATCATGCTTCAAAAGGAACAACAATTCATCATCTAGTGTCTCAAGGAAGTCCTCAACCGATACAGTTTCAATGCATAATTCAGCCCTAGAAATTCGTGATAATATTAAATCAATTTTAAAAAGTACTCTTTGTTGCACTGATAACATAAAATAAAATTAAAATTATAAAAATAATAATAACAATAGTAATAAAATATTGAAATAGAATTAATAAAATAAATTAATAAATGAAATAATAAATGAAATATAATAAATGATAGTATAAATTTTGGTTGAATGATAATTTTTGTTTTTCAATCACATTCTTAACGTGTTGTAGCATTTAAAATAGATATCTTACCGGTCAGTAGTCTTCCACTGTGTAAAACTTATTTCTTCAATATTTGACTTTTGACAAGCTGTACGAATCGAATGAAGAATGGGATTAGTTCCGGGACAATTGGGACACTCCAAAAAATAACAATCTGGTGTCTGGTTTTCACATACCATTTTTTCTAAAATGTCAAGCATTTTAAAATTGCAAGGTGGTGTCGCATTTTTCAAAGCACCATTTATCCCATTTAATTTAAGTCTCATATTCTGATGCGTTTTGCATACACAGACACTATGGCTTCCACTGCGTCCCATAGGAATACAATTACGTGGGCGTAATTTAGTAAAAAAGGATCGGCTCATCTCAATGTTCGGATTATTTGATTTTTTCGTGAATTACTTTAATATCAAATAGTAATAATCTTTTTTGCACATATTCTTTTTTACCGTCCTTAACAACAGGGACACAATCTTTCCTACCAGGCATAGCTCGACTGCATTCGCCTGATTCGTAAAATTGTACGACTTTTTCAATTATATCGGGAGATAATGGACGACCACGTTTTGGCTGAGGATAAGATCCGTAACCAGATGACTGTCTTAATTTTTTAGCCTTTGAACCCATTCTTCGAGAAACATTCAATTCTCTTTGCATTTTTCTAATGCTCCGGTCGGTTGGTAAGGTCGTCAACAGCATGATTTTGTCTTGTCTGGAAACGGCTTTTGATAAAGCAAATTGAATGTCCTTAATTTGTTTAGACTCTACGTCTGATTTTTCTTGACTCACATGAGAAAATTGTAATCCCCTTCTTTTGCATTTCACTGGATTTCCCTCTTCATTTTGCCAAACATTACTGGATGTTCTCTTCAATTCTTTATTTGCCGGTTTATACGAAGGATCACACAATTCATCTTCAGGACTCGAACTATCGTCAGAACTAATTTCAACTTCTTTCGACGCAAGAACGTCAGGTGCTGGTTGCACTGGTTCCGAAGAGTTGTTTTTCAGAATTGTTAGTCGACATGAATCACATACGAATTGTCCAATTAAATTAGAAAACTGTACACTCCAATGTTCGGTTACTAGTTTAATATTTTTGATTATGCAAGAATGTTTTTTTTTCTAAGTGCATTACAACACTTATTTGCACGAACCATTTTTATGAAATCAACGATAAAATTTCTTCCAAAATTTTAAATAACTTGCATGATTTCGCGATTCACTTTAAATTTTACCGAATTTATAAGTGATTAATATTATGAAAGACACTATACGCTGCACTGTAACTTTGAATTATTTCAACATTCACTTGTTTTTCATGTATAGATTATTTTTTATAAAATCCCGTTAAAATATTTTCGAAAATTTTATTGAATTTCGCGATTCACTTTAAATCGTTTTACATTTATTGTAAGAGCCGTACGCGAAAGTATTAAACCGACTTATTCTCAACATTCATTTGTTTTCCTCTAAAAACAAAAGAACATCTAACTCAATCCCAGTCATGAAAACCCAAAACCGAAAGTATTTATATTAAAAAATATGTTGAAGGTACAGTTTTTACATATTTTTATGTTATTTTCACATACTTACATATTTTTATCAATTTTTATATACTAAATATTTTATATGTTGTTAATTCACACAATTTCTAAATGTGTGAGTGTGTTAAATAACGTATTGTTTAATGCGAATTATGATTTTCTTTAGATAGTTAAGAATAACAATAAAATAAATTATTTATTTAAATAAATTAAAAATTTCTTTCTTTGTTGTGATTTTTAATCACACATAAAAATTAAAGCCTTTAAAAACGTTTAAGGGGTTATGCCACTCTAGAGACCGAAAAAATAGGTGTTTTATGTGAATTTTTTTTAGAAAAACCATAAAGTCAATTAAAAATATAATATAAGAAGTTTATTATACATCTTTTTAGGTGTAAAAAAATAATTTCTTATAAATATTTCTTGAAGAATGGTGGCGCTGTAGCGGTCGTCCTTCGACTCCTCTATGGTTCAAGGGGTACGTGGCCGAACTAACTGCTCCTGTAAATTTTGAAATATCTTGAGTATCTAAATTTTTTTTTATTATATATTACAATAGCTAAAGTAACACGTAGGATTTTTTCGATATATTGATTCATGATCAAATGGCGCACTTCTAAAGTTAAACTTTCTAATTTCGACTAAAAAACCATCAGTTAATAGTTAATAACAAATGAACTATATAGAATAAAAAAAAAATCCTACGTGATACCTTAAAAAATGTATTTTTAAAGATGTGTGTCAAATTTGAACCTAATCGGTTGGAAATTGTACGAGTTGTTGGTTCGGCCAACTCGAAAAATGTAGTTTGGAGATAAACGCGTTTAAAGTTTTAAGTTGTAAAAAACTTAAATAATTTCACAATACCTTTAATCTGCAATGCCTGCACCATATAATTGACCACTATAGTCTAGCAAGTAACTAGCGCCTTTGAAAACATCTGCCGTATACCTGCTGTAGATCCTTCAAAGATCACCCCCCGTAGAACTGACAAAATGAGCTCGCCGCGTACCGTGCAGCCTTGCAAGGAACTTCGAAAATAAATTATTTAGAGATTTTTCCGAGCCATAATCCTGCAATATGTTATTTCTGAGACCCTAAGGAACTATTTAAAGCAAAAAAAAAAAAAGCGATTTTTTGAAAATCCTAGAGTGGCATAACCCCTTAATATATCACTAGTGCGCACAGGTGCATAAGGGCAGGCTTGCGCGACCAGAGTAACGTCACGTATCGCTTCGCACCGCCATCCTTTTTAATTAATAACTTTTTCCCTAATTGAGTCTCATTTTTTTTCTAAACGGTTTTAGGCTCGGAGATGTTTGAGGAATGCAACACAATTTTTCTTTTTTTGTTAGGACATGGAGAACACTATTTGTTATTAACATTTTATAAACAAATAATATAAAAGACTATTAAAAATGAAAAATTTTTTAAACAAAAATTATTTTTGAATACTACATTTCATGACGAAAAAAACCCATTTTTTAATTTTTAAATTGGTCAATTAGAACTCGAGAAAAAAATTATTTAATTTAACACTACCAAAAACTTTAATTGTTAATAACTTATACAAAAAATTTTTTTTTGGCCTGAAAATTTATGACATTGTTTTTTACCTTATAAAGAGTCAAAAAAACATCATTTAAGGTTTAAATAAAATTTTTCAATTTTAGGTGATCCGTTTGGGAAATTCTGACCCGCGAGAAATCAGATTAATACTGAATGAAGAAGTAATTAACTACGAGACACAGAAAAAACACCTGCTTAAAAAATGTATTTTTAACGATTACTTTCCCATTAAAGGAAGTACTCTTACTTATAAAATCGATGGCAAAGTTTTTTGTTTATAGTCAGACGACACCAACATTTTTTTGAAACCAGACATAAATGATTATTATATTAATATAATATAAATAATATTATTGTAATTCTCAACAAAAACATACGCAAATGCAAAATAGGTTTCAAATTTAAAAAATCATATAAAATAATTTTTTTTCGAATTGGTAGCTATTTATTGTATTAATTTAGAAATAAAATGTCTAAAAAAGTATTCACTTGTAATTATATGTCATAATAATTCTTATTCTTTTGTTAAGTAACTTCTCTTAAGAGTTACAATTTTCTTTTTCTTTTATTTGTGATGAAATCTCGTATTATTCGTAAATTTTATAAATTTAAAAGAATCTCATTTTCAAGTAAGATATACATGCGTCTTTTTTTTATTTACAAAACTATTTATCTGGATATTAATAATTTTGTTTAAAAACATAAGCTTTCGCAAAATTTTTGCTATTAGAAATTTGTTCCACATTGCAGATTGTTTACCAGCAGGGTCGTTTTAAACTAGAATGACCAAAATATTGAAAATATCATGTTTGGAATCTTTATTTTTTATCATAGAATAAAAATTACACACGTGAATACTTAATTTTTGTTTGATATCTAGCTTAATTTTTAACAAGATATAATTAAACAAAAATTAAATGAAACTATCGTGTTAAATTTATGTAGCGTAAAGCGTAAAAAAGTTGAAATATGCTAACTGTAATTTAATTAAATTTTTATAACGTCTAACGTTCCTTTAGAAATAATTGATTCGCAACACTGGAATTATTATTTTCATTCTCAGAGTAAAAGGTATTCAATTATTTCCATATAGAATATTTTTGGAAAGAGGTTTACATTGTTAAGTTATTTTTGTATAGTTTAAAAGTCTAGAATATCCACTCAGGGTTGCTACAGAGCCTGTAAATCCTGCAAAAGTCATAGATTTTTGAAGGTCTGGAAATCTTGGAAGTATCATGGAATTTTCAAATTTCATCTGGAATTTCATTAATTTAAATGTTTTTTTTTAATTTTCTTAACTAAAGACTTGAATACTTATGAAAAAATAATTAAATATTTATTTTATAATTTATTAATTTAGCAGGTTTTTTAAAGTAAAATAAATTAAATTACAGGAATTTATAAAATTTCTCTATTTTTGTCAGATTTTTTACGAATTCCAGTTATTTTCAAAATTTCATGAAAATTTGAATAAGTTCAAAAATATTTAAAGTTTCTACATGTTCTTAGGTTTATATTTTTATATTTTCTTAATTTTTCACTCTATTCCCCTATCTTATCTTAAAACTCAAATAATGGGGCTGACTTGTTGAACACAAACATTTTTTATTTCCATACTTTTTAAGTTTACAGATGATTCATATTCATCAAAAAATGGTTGGTCTTATAATTCTGACTGGTGGGGTAATGTAAAACAGTCTTAAAACATTTTGTTTAAGGAAAATATACATTCAGATTTTTTCTCTTTTTTTAATTCGAGATGTCCCTATATTCCTCTTTTTCTAGAATATTTTAAGTTGTGAAACCTGTGTCAGTGCATACACAGCATACACTTTTTCTAATTTTTCTCAGAAATGACTACTTATTTGAAATTCATATATTCAAGTTCAATTCATATATTCAAATAACTCAAGCGTTATGTTATTGATAACAAAATTTTATTGTAGATATTTGAATGTCTCAATTTAGAAAAATAATTTTTACAGATGTCCATGTACAAGATAATGGTTTAGGTGGAGATAGACTTGAACGATTCCAAGAGATACTATCATCATACAGATATAAATCATCTACTAAACGTCCCAACGAAAAGGTCAGTATTATTTAATATTTAATAAATAATTTGTAATTCGGTTAAAAAAAGTGGATACTTACATTAGCTAACCTTTTACTATGAAATATTACAGAGTCATTGACGTTTCGAAAGTAAAACATTCTAAAAACGTGATTTGTTGAATAATTTTAGCAGATATTTGAAACGTACTTTCATTTTCGTGAAGAAGCAAAGTATTCAAGAAATAATAAGTAGAAGATATGTCAGATTCTATTACTTATTACTATGAAAGCTATGTAAATAAACAGCTAATGATATAATTTTTATAAACATTTTCTAATGTCCCTGGCGGATTCGATTTACCTAAGATCGACCCAGCTGGGTCGAATCTAAGTCGAATTTAAGTCGAATTTAGGTAATTATCAAAAAAAAGCTTTAAATTGATGAAAATTTATAAAAATTAGTATTGTGAGGTTAAATGAACATTCATAGAGTTAATTTTTGTAAGAATTTTAATTATTAACGTGATAAATAATAAATAATTACTTGATATGTGCAAGTGGTAACTGTAGATTTTAACTCGTTGTCAGTTTTCATAATATTTTCAGAAATTAGTGTAAAATGTGTGAAAAAATAATTTATATTTAATAGAAATTGCAAATTTTATTAAATTATTTTATTATTTAACAATCACATTTCATAATAATTGCAATTTAATTAAAAAATAACAGTTTTCTTAAAAGTGACAAGAACTCTATTATACCGACCACACACGGAACAGCGGAACGCGCGCCAAGATTTGAAAAGAGTTACAAATTTTAAACATTCATTAAATAGAAAATATGCAATTTTTTTCTTTATTTATAAAAAAAACTTTAGAATTTTGTTAAAATAATAAAAATTAAGCTGATATATTTTTCTTAAATTTTTACTTATAACTTTTTAAAAAATTCTTAAATAAAAGATCAAAAAATTTAGTTAAATTTGTATTTTGCCATCATAATTTTTTAACAAAAATATAATTTTTTAGACATAAAAATAAGAAAAATTTAGATTAAAACTTATTTAACAATTACATTTTTTTAACAAAATTCTTTTTTTTTTAAAAAAAGTTGCAGAATTTTTATTTCATATTCACAATTCTTTAATGAAATTGTTTTTTAATACAAGTTATAAAAAAATTAATCATTTATTTATACTAATGCTAATAATCACTAATTTTAAGTAATAGGATAGCTGGAAATTTGTGCTCCCTGCATGCTGCTGCCATCTAACGGCGTCTGCAACTAATATAGGGCGATAGTTAAAAGTAAAGAAATAGTGATTATTAGTATTAATATAAGTAAATTGGTATAAATAAATGATTAATTCGGCATTTCTGAGAAAATTTTTATAAAATGATTATCTTTTATGGTTAATCAAATATATTTAATTAATGAAATTAAGATAATAATGAAATAGTTGTAATTAACAATTTGAATTTTCCCGCCAGAAGATCATGTGCATTCATATTCGCGCACTTTTACCGTGTGTGGTCGGTATAATAGAGTTCTTATCACTTTTAAGAAAACTTTTTTTTAAAATTAAATTGCAATTATTTTCAACTGTGCTCGATAAATAATAAAATAATTAATAAAATTTGCAATTTCTATTAAATATACATTATTTTTTCACACATTTTACACTAATTTCTGAAAATATTATGAAAACTGACAACGAGTTAAAATCTACAGTTACCACTTGCACATATCAAGTAATTATTTATTATTTATCACGTTAATAATTAAAATTCTTACAAAAATTAACTCTATGAATGTTCATTTAACCTCACAATACTAATTTTTATAAATTTTCATCAATTTAAAGCTTTTTTTTGATAATTACCTAAATTCGACTTAGATTCGACCCAGCTGGGTCGATTTTAGGTAAATCGAATCCGCCAGGGGTATTCTATTAATGATCAGATATTTCAATTTTGTTTCTTTCAATACTGTTAAATTAATATTAGGGTTATTTTCCACTTAGCGTAAAATTCCATGACCCTTATATATTTTTTAAAAATAAGTTAAATAAATTGTAATGAATTCAACAAGAAAAAACAGCTTTTCTGTTTACCAACAAAAGCCAATATTTACTTTTGTTCGTAACATTATAATTTCTTTTTCAAATTCAAATTAGAGAGCCAAATCGTCATGATTGAGTCTGTCTCTAGTATCATTTATAAAATTGAAATTTTTGGTAGAATGCAGTGATTTATCTATTTACTAGATACTTGATTATTTTCTGTTTTTATACATCTAAAGCGATATTTTCACACAGGAAATCACAAAATTGTCACTATGAAGCCTTCATATACTTTCAAATAAATCACTATTTATTATGAATAATTTGTCCAGACCATCACCAGATATTTACTTTATTTGAGCACTTACCTCGAAGATTATAATTTAATTATTGTTAAATTAAAAAACATTTAATAACAATAACTAAATTATACGATACGCAGAGAATTACTTATTAATATTTTATACAAATTTCATTTATTAATATTCATTTTTTAAAAAAATGTAAAACTTAATTTTATCAATTTACAGGTCTTGGGTAAAAGTGTTCCTATGGTAAAAAAACAAAAGAGTAAAACATCATACATGAGAAGAGTAATAAAAATTCTCTGGAAAAATAGAATGAATGATAAGGGTGAATTTGAGTTCATGGGTAACACCATTGGAAAACACATGATCATCTCTCTAAACGGGAGAAAAGATTATCCTCTAGAAGAATTGAAATCCTTGGCTTTAAAAGAATTTGTTACGGAAAAAAACAAATTTTTTTTTCAAAATTCTATCGTTCAATTAAAACTAGAAGATAGTTCTTTCATCATAGAGTATAAGAATGAATATGGAGATGAATGCGGGTCCTGGGAATTTACAAAACAGTATAAAAAAGAAGGACACTCGCTACATCTGTATTTATACACAACATTCATTGGAAATATTAACGAAATAAAAGCAAAATCAAATGAACCAACGACATCTAATGTTTTCGATTTCAGTGACAGTGTAAATACTGACGTTGAGGTTTTTCCAAAATACAGAAGTCAGAAATCAGAATACACGTCGACGTTAATCATGGGCAAGAAGCAGGCATTAAAAAAAGCATACATTCTGATTCCAATGTCATACCCGAAACTCACTCTGAAACATCTTCAAACAGCTCATCGAGAAGTTTAACGCCTCCACCACCAAAAAAGAAAAAAATTTGTTCTAGAAACGAAAACACGTTACGACAAAAGCCGGCAACATAACAAAGATTTTGCCCCCTCAACTTCGACATTTAAAAAAGATTTTACACCTAACAGTTCGGTTAAATCATTAAAAAGAAATCAATTGCCTGCAAAGTATGTAAATTCATTTGACGAAAATTCACGGTCTAAAATGTTCAACAATTCGTTTGAAATTAATCCTCAGTTTGTAAGTAAGTGATAAGTAAGTGATTATCAATCTGAAAAGCTGAATAATATTAAGGACTTTGAAATTTCTGCAAAAAGCAGTACTGCAGGTTCCGAAATGAGTAGTCGAGTTTTTTCAAACGCTAGCTTTCAAGCAACAAAAGATCAGTTATCTAATAATAATAATTATATTTTTAAGAAACCACAGGAAAAACAAGTATTGCATGAGAAAATTAATGCTTTAAATGTCTCAATAAATATCATTCAAGAAGAAAATTTAGAGTTTTCAAATTCGATTTTAGGACAAGGTGCACAAGGTGTAGTGAGAAAGGGAAAATACTTAGGATCTGAAGTTGCAATAAAGTCGATTGTTACTACCAAAAATGAGAATAAAAATCTTTTAAGGGAAATCAAAATTCTTGACGAAATCAAACATCCAAATATCATTACCCTTATGGCTGTTTGCCCAACTGTAACTCAATGTCACATCGTAATAGAGTTCTTCGAGTCAAATTTGCTCCACGAGATTCTTTTTGATTCAAACATTGAATTAAAATTAGATATTGCATCGAAAAGTAGCATTGCATTTCAATTGTGTGAAGCTGTATCTTACCTACATCAACAACCCCAACGATTCATCGTTAAAATGTGTGATTTAGGTTTAAGTAAAAGCAGCTTATTATCAGAAACTTTGGAGTCTACCATTGTCGGTCGTTGTGCAGGCACTTTACTCTATATGGCTTCAGAGATTTTAATGCATTCGAAAGTTGCCAACGAAGCTACCGACGTATGGTCTGTCGCATGCACATTGGTGGAATTGTTTACTGCAAAAAAAGTATGGAATGTTAAGAATGCTTTTGACATAACGAAAATATTATTAAAACATGATACACCAAATTTGGAGGGTTTACCAATTTTCTTGCGTGATGATTTGAAAAATTGTTTTAGTTATAAAGCAGAAGAGCGACCTATGATAAGCGATCTCTTAGACTTACTCCGACTGCATAATGAGTTTTCATTGCGTTCCTAAGCAAAAGTTTAAAGTGTTCAAACTTTTGTGTTTTATTGTCAAAGACTAGTTTGGTACGTGAATATGTTTGTGATACTTAATAGTATTATTTATAACTTATATTTATTTTATTTTAAATCTTAAAGTGCCAAGATTGTAATTAAGGTATAAAAAATATGTAATATTTTAAACAGTATTCAACGTAAATACATAAGTGTTTGTAAAGAGTCTAAAAGTCTATTGCATCTTTAAGCATTTATATAAATTGTTTCTTAAACAATGTTTTGTAGACACTAAAAATTTTTTGTCATTAATGCGTATTTCTCATTGTTCATTTGTACTTTTATTATTCAAAAATAAAATTGTTCTTAAATAAGAATAATAATCATAATGTAAATTTCATTACTTACTTTTTATATTTTGTACTTGAAATTTTTTGGATAGTTTACAAATTTTATTACAGTTTGTTTCTTAAAGTGAGCGTGATTTTTAAAGAGTTTAAAAATTTTTCACGCTGATTATTTATACCAGTACTAATTAAATTGTAAAATCGATAACTACAACTTGCTTAAAAATTTATCAAATAACATCTTCTATTAGAAATTTTAAATATTTACAGAGGCATATACATAATTAATACCATAAAAGAATATTTACGTTACTAAAAAAATTACATTGTTACTTAATTATTTATTTATACTTATTATTTATTTAAGATATCCACAGGTTAAGAATTTCAAAAAATAATGTCTTTTATTTTACATAAGCTATATAAATCCAAAAACTTATTTAATTTTTAAGAGAGTTGCTTTCCTAAATATTTTCTTAAATGTCATTCTCTAACTATTCTCACCATTTGTTAACTTGCACTGCAAATTTGCGGAAATTTTGCTGGAAGATTGCAGTAAGCTTGCAAAAATTGTAATTTTATTTTATTTTTTAGATATAAATTACTTTAAAATATGTATCCAGCAGCATAGCTTGGTTTTTAAATATACCATTTTTTTAAAAAACCGTTTCAAGAAAAGTTATAGTTTATTATAAAAATCTTCAATATTACATTCTTTATTTTTTAATTTAAAATTTCAATGTGTATAAGTTTAATTTTTTAACAAAAAATTTCTTTAAAAACTATATATATTTATTTCATTCATAATTATATTAATTATTTAACAAAAAAATAAAATTTGTAGACCTACAGAACTAAGTATATGAAATAAATAGTTCTTAAATGGCTTATAAAATTACGAATCGGGTTAAAATTTTTCCCAAAATCTTATTCAGAAAATTGATTTTTTTATGTTGGTTGTGAAACATATTTTTTATTTATTGAATAACCGGATTTTTAAAAAAAACCGCAAACCGAGATTTCAAAACCGGAAACCGGTTTCCAAACATACCGGAAAAAAACCGATATACCGGTTTTCCGCATAGGGCTATTAAGGGTTGTCAACTTTTTTCTGTCAATACTGAGTATTTGAACTATAAATTTGATAATAATTTTTTAAATAAAATTTTAAATTCACGAAAAATTAAAATTCAAACTTCTTTAATAATTTTAATTATTTTTCACTGTCAATTTTTATACGCTTTTTTTATGATTCTATCAATCTATCTAATCAATCGTACGGATTTTAAATTTTTTTCAATAAATAAATTTTCTAAAATGGCCAAAAAATTTTATTTCGAAATTTTAATAATATATGGGTAAATCCACAGAACCGGCCGATTTCATGTTACTCACATATTTTTCTATTTTAGAAGTATTATATTAATTATTTTCATACTTCAACCATTTTGTAATATCTCTGAGAACCTATTGAAATAAGAAAATTGAATAAATGTGAACCTTCTAGTCTTTTATAAAAAATAAAATCGAATTAAGTAACTTAAAAAATGAAATTTACGGTGTTACTCCAGGTATAAATTTTAATTCTTATAGGTATAACTTGTTCGGCATAGATCCGAACAATTCCAAACTGTGGTGAATTATAGTTTACTTATTGAAGAATGTTTTGAAAGTAATAAAAAATATGTGCTCTTAAATAAAAAGAAATGATAGTCGTTGAAAGTAGCGTTACTCATTATTTTATAATAATAAAATGTCTATACATTTTTGTAAATATCTTTTGCGGCGATTATTCGATTTGAATTTTTCAAATTGGAGCTTATTGCTTGTGAACAGACGAACAAATGTATGTATCATAGAATAGAGTGCAATCAGAATTAAAGAAAATATTCCAATAATTATCACTCTATGTTTAAGCGTGAACCATTTTCAACTTAGCCTTTTTTCAGTAGCACAACTACAGGATAAAATATGATGAATTGAAAACATGTGTGCTTATATAAAGACATTATTATAATTCTTGTATGCAAACGCCAAATTATATTTTCAATTTATAACGTCTAAAAATTAAAAATAAAAAAAAATTTATCGAAATTTAACTAGTTAATCGTGAAAAATGAATTATCCTTTCATTTGTTTTATTTTCAAAGTTATATCAAAATCGATGTCAATAATGTCAGTTTGTTGGTTAAAATAGTTAATATCAAAATTAGTAAGTAAACAATTTAATTTACAGAAATAAAAAATTAAATGCTAATAAATAAAATATATAATAAAATATGATAAAATATAAATAATTTATTTTTGATAATTAAAAAATTAATTATTTGTATTTTATCATATTTTATTATTCAAAATGTTTTGCACATATTTCAAATAATATATAAAAAAAACAAAGAAATGCCATTTTTAATTATAATTTCCAGAAGAAAAATAATATTTTCGTTTTTGGCTTTTAACTCAAACGGCATTAAAATAAAATGAATCACGCAAGAAGATAATTGTTCTTGAATATATTTTAAAGAAAGTAAACCATAAATAAAAGGCGTGCTTGCTATTTGGAAAATTTTCATCTTGATAAGTAAAAATCGGCCAGTTCTGTGGATTTGCCCATATAATAATTTTGGATCCTAAATTATGAGAGAGAAAAATTAACACCCCTTAACAATAATTTCAGTAGGCTGGAATTTCACCGGTCTCTCCCCTAAAAACATTACTTAGTGAATTGGAACTTTTTTATAACACCACTTACACTTCACTATCTTTTGTGGTTGGTTCATGCCCTTTCAAACGAGCCCTACTCGAAATTGATAGCACTCACCCTTAGAGCAGGGGGTGTATTTTTGTCTAGGGGTGCACGAAAAAAATGTAAACATAAGACAAAAATTCAAAATGAATAACAATTCAATAAATCATTTTCAATTTTTGAAATCTGACTTCAGATTCGTTACCAGCGACCCCAAAAACCCCCGAGTGACCATTTTGAAGTGAATTGGATCAAATTTTTATTTTGACATCCGCCATATTGGATCCGCCATTTTAAATTTTTGAAATCTGACTTCAGATTCGTAATCAGCGACCCCAAAAACCCCATAACTATCATGACACAGCCACACAAAAAAAAAAAAGTACCCGGGCCGGGAAATGAGACCATCATTTCTTGATGTATTTTGATGCGCTGAACACGAATCTGAAGTCCGTTTAGCTCCATCACGTCAGGATTTTGACATAACCTCAAAAAACATAGCTGATTTTAAATGACAGGAGAAATTTTTTAAATAATGGCAGATTTGCTTGAATCTTGTTACTCGGGGGTTTTTGGTGTCGCTGATTACGAATTTAACGTCAGATTTAATAAATTCAAAATGGCGGATCCAATATGGCGGACGAATTTTTAAAAAGTAGTTGGATTTTTACGAAAATTGGTATCTAGGGGTTTTGGGAGTCGCTGATTACAAATTTATCGTCAGATTATTCAAATTCAAAATGGCGGATCCAATATGGCGGACGAGTTTTTAAAAAATAGTTGAATTTTTATGTAACTTGGCCGATACTGGGGTTCCGAGTCCCTGCATCGTAATACGTTTCCTACGTGTGTCTGCCATGACGGCATCAAAGCCATTATCCAGGGACTTAGCCGGATAGCGGACAAACTCCGTTGCCCACCGTCACCGCGTGGAGGTACCCTGGATGCAGACACATGTAGAAACATAAAGATATTTGACCACCGTACTATATCTGCCATTTTACATTTGAATAATCTGACGTTAAATTCGTAATCAGCGACTCCAAAAAACCACATGATACCAATTTTTGTAAAAATCCAACTACTTTTTAAAAATTTGTCCGCCATATTGGATCCGCCATTTTGAATTTGAATAATCTGACGATAAATTTGTAATCAGCGACTCCCAAAACCCCTAGATACCAATTTTCGTAAAAATCCAACTACTTTTTAAAAATTCGTCCGCCATTTTGAATTTATTAAATCTGACGTTAAATTCGTAATCAGCGACCCCAAAAACCCCCGAGTAACAAGATTCAAGCAAATCTGCCATTATTTAAAAAATTTCTCCTGTCATTTAAAATCAGCTATGTTTTTTGAGGTTATGTCAAAATCCTGACGTGATGGAGCTAAACGGACTTCAGATTCGTGTTCAGCGCATCAAAATACATCAAGAAATGATGGTCTCATTTCCCGGCCCGGGTACTTTTTTTTTTTGTGTGGCTGTGTGATTTATTGAATTGTTATCCATTTTGAATTTTTATGTTATGTTTACATTTTTTTCGTGCACCCCTAGACAAAAACACATCCCCTGCTCTAAGGGTGCGTGCGATCAATTTCGAATAGGGCTCGTTTTAAAGGGCATGAACCAACCTTTAATTTCTGATATCAGCAAAGTTTGTACCTCGTCAGGTTTTCACTGTATAATTTTTCAAAAATGGCCAGAAACCCTATTTTTAGGAGTTTCAACACCTATTTTTTCGAAAATGTGACGTGATGGAAAGTTTTCGACTCCGGATTCGTGTTCAGCACAAAAAATCCGTTCGGAAACACTATGTCCCATGTTATTCGCAGAAAAAAATTTGAAATTTGCAGGGCAGTGTAATTGACACTCAGATTTTGTCAAGTTTTATACTCCTTAAGGTAAATTTAACAATCTTTTTTCTCCGTGTGGTGAAAAAACAAGTAAATTAAGCTTTAATTAATGTGTGTGCCTTTAAAATTGAAGATAATACAATAATAATTATTTCAATACTTCTAAACGTAAAAGACAATAAATTTTGATATTTTCTAATGGCACACACACAGCTTGAAGAATAATCGGTTGAAACTTTGCATTAACGGTAGATATTATTATTATTATTATTATTATTATTAATATT